AGCTTGCTAAGATTCCAAGTCATAGAAATTGTTGACAGTTTATTTTTTTAACGTGGACCTCATGGAGCAATGCGGCTAACAGGAACCTTCCGACATATTCTTTTCTCCGCCTCTTAGAGTGTAATCTCAAAAAAGTATGAAAAATGTGTGGGTGCATGCTAAGATAAGATCAAAAATCGGCAGTTTTAAATTTGCTTCTTTGCTCGTAAAAGCGCTGTAGCATCTCACTTTGCTAGCAGAAATTCACCAGTCAAATAACAGGGATCATTACATCTTTGCAGTTTTAGAAGTTGAATTTCTTGCAATAGAGTCCAAAGTACTTTTTGCCACAATTCCCAAATATATCCGAAAAAGGAATTTGCAGTAGGCTATAGCGGTCGAAAACTGGTGGAAGTTAAGCCATACTCTTCACTAAATGGGTGTTTTGCTGTGTAGTGCAGCTGTTAGGCTGCGAAAATTTCGGAAGTACTAGATTTACTGGTGATTAGCACTGACGACAACTGTGCATATGTAATGAAGCAAGTTCAGGTTGAGTTCAATCCAAGATTAGTTCCTAGGAGTTTTCAATTCACTTTGCTGTTCATGAAAATGAAGCTCATTCTAGGGTTGGTATTTACACAGAATACTAAGCGAACCAGTAGTCTAAAGCTGCTATCTGCAAGAGTGTTCGCTTTTGGACCGCCACACGGTTTCCCGCTATTTGCAGATTTTTGAATTGCGCTTACGTTTCTTTATATATTAGATTATCTATACGAAGACGAAATCGTACTGAATTGGGATTTTCAAAAAAAATTGAGATATATTGGAGCAAATCAAATGTATCTTTGGAATAAGAGGACTTATAACCATTACTATCATGGAAAATTACATCAAGTTATACAAAACCGCTCGCAGAAGGTGCAAAATTTCCGTGAATGTGGCGGAATTCTAGGATTTCTGCCGAAGTCCGCGACATTCCCGGAATTCCGCGACATTCACGGAAATTTTGCACATTTTGTGAGCGGGCACTAGGCATTTCGTTCTCTCTTTAAAGGCAGTAAATCGGCAGAATGGGCCCTTCTCGGATTCTGGTGGATTTCGGTAGTAGACCTCCAAGTACACTGTAGCCCAAATCCCACCCTCCAACTCATGCGCTGAGTCCTGAAAGTGCGCTTCAAACTTCCACCAATGACGCCCACTCAGTGGAAGTGGGCGGGCTGATGGAGTTTTGAAGCCCATTTTCAGAGCTTAGCCCATGAATTTGCAGGTGGGATTTGGGCTACAGTGTACTTGGGGGTCTACTACCGAAATCCACCAAAATCCGAGAAGTGTCCATCCTGCCGACCCACTGCCTTTAAAGATTCAATGATTTTGTTTACCTTTTGCAGTTTTTGGGTTAGTCTGCAAATTGAGCTAAATGTGTATAACATCAACTAAGCAAAATCCTCTCACATCTGTATGATTTTAAAAATAAAACATTTTTTTGAAGGAGAAAGAGAATCCCACCGAGAAAGCCGACAAAGCCCCTTTTGTAATGTACCTTCTTTCTTGGTTCCTTAACTTCCTCCAAGGAGAAGGAAAGAACTGAATAGAAGTAAATCGTTAAAGATTTCAGACTCAAAGATCTCCTAATTTTCTTGGGCAAATCCCGACTTGCTTTCAAAGCTAGACAAGAATCTCTTGTAGGAAAAAGTTATAAACATTCCTGAAAACTCCTGCAGTCTGGAAATTCCTTGGTTGCACGGATTCTTTGACTGTAATTCTTTCAACTCAAAAACCGTGAGAATTGATGGTGCAGCTAGTCGCCACATTTTCTTCCTGAACAAAAAATCAACTCAACATCGGAGGTAGATTTGTTATCCAAGATATGCCTTCATAAACTCTGGACCTGTTTAGCTTCACTAATTAATTCATGAAGCAAAGTAAGCATGACCGGAAAGCAGCAGCTGTTGAGGAATTTACGAGTTATAAAAACCGCAGGCGAGAATGAGTTTGAGTATACCACCCACACAAGATGTAGTCACCCGGCGCACAATCCCTTCTGTACCCTTTGATTCAACTGGTTTGGCGGTTGGGAGGCGGAGCTTCGTAACCTAATTAAGGCTAGACAATGATCAGAGAGCACGCGCGCGAGAGAGGTGCAGACTGCGAGCGACCTCAACTAGGTCACAAAGCCCTGCCTTCCAGCCGCCAAGCCGTTGAATAAAAGGTTACCTTACTTTGTTGTAAGATTTTTTCTAATCTTGAATTTGAGCTCTCTTATGTCAATACAAGGAGCCTGTTCTCAAAAAGTCAAAATAAAGCAGCGATTGTTGCTCGGAACCTCTGGTGGTTCCATCAGCTGCTGAACGGAGGCCATTTGGCGAACTGATGTCACGGGAGATTAGCGAAAGGTTGCTCGAAAACAACAAATTTTCGCCCAGACCTCATTAATTGGGAAGACTTATAAATATAGCCTAGTACATGGGGAAGACGAGTTCGTGTAGCTTAGAGCCATGGAAAGATGAATCAGCGTTGATTTCAGTGCGAAGATAGGGCACAATAAGTGGCGAAAGTGATTCTAGAAAATTCTTAATACGATACTATTCAAATCTTATATAAGTGCATTCGTATCATAACCTTGGCTAAGATTATCCAGGCACTGGTGTTGGTTCTTAGAGCATTTTGGAAGAAATTCAAAACAATTTTTTGCTTTACATTACAAAGATGATAGACTAAAGCATTGGCGATGGCGATCAGCATGGCTCATGGCACTTTTCGAGAAATGGTTTCGAAGTCATACTATTTGTGAACCCTCGCAAATGAGCTGGTTTCCCAATAAAATTCTATAAGCTTCAACATCTTTCTCAGCATCAGTACCAGTCAAAGAAGCATCGCTTTTGGTTACAAAAATTATCAGAAGTCCATCTAAAAAAGTTGTGAGAATCTTGTCATCGCCAATGCTTCAGTGAAAGTTCCAGATTGTCGTTTTTCAACAATATTTCACAATTTGGGGCGTTCTGCTTGCGATTCAAATCTGTTTGCGTTTTTGTGAACTTCCTGTCTTTGAATTCGTCTTTTGGAACTCTGTAGTCAAGTTTCTTTCTTGAATGCAGCCTCCACCATTTGGTCTACTGTGATCATTGTTCCCATTTCTTTTTTTGGTATTTAAGAACACTAAATGTTTCTCGAAACGTTCGTAACCATAAAAAACGTATTCTAACTATTGGTGGAAAAAGAAATGTAGTTTTCGAATATGCAAGGAAAGATGAATTTGACTAACTTTTGAGTCAGCGACATCATTATGCTCTTTCACTAAGTAGCAAATGACTTTTTGTTACGCAATAAAATTTGGGAGTAGAGTGGTTTTAAGAGTTCCTTTCTGTTCCTCACACCTGTCATGTTATTTCAATGAGAAATACGTGCTGCGGGTGTTGGAAAGAAAAAAGGTGACAGAAGTTCCTCCTTATCGACGAAACTTCCCACAGCTTTCCAGTTTATGAATTTTTAACGCTGCGGACACTAAGCTTAGAAGAACTCATTCTTCACTTTTGGCTTTGAGGATGTGAAGATTTCGCCTTTCGCCTTGAGTGTGCATCTGCTTTGACTTCGTTATTACTTGTACATATTTTTATATGCATTTCTGGGTTTCTTTTACTATAAGCTTTTCGGTATCTCGTTCGCGAAAGATTATGGAGCATGTATATAATAAGGTGAAGGATAAAATTGAGATAGATTGGAGATATATAGATTGTAATCTCAGTAGATTGTAATTTTTGAGAGTTTGTCGTGTAAATTTGAAACATGTGCTATCGTGTATCAGAGATGAAATATCATATCATGTTTTATAACAGAGTCGATCGAGGAATGCTGAGAATCTAACCGACCGTATGGCCAAAGTCTCACGAAATGCTTCATAATATTTGACTAATATATATTTGACTACTAAAACAGTGCAGCCATAACCTTGATTAGATATAAGGTGCCAACAAATAACACCATACTTTCATCAACATTATTCACTTCCGGTATATTTTCAAAATAATAGGAATTTAAATGAGCCTTATTTGCTTTATGCAATGTCATTTAAGCGAACTCATTTTACAGTTAGACAAAGCATAAAAATGGGACGAGAGCTCAAAAAATGTCAAAAACAATGTAACAATTTGAAATGCTAGATAGATGTTGAAACTTTTCTTATCATTGAATATCGAAATCTGCTTCCAAAGATCCATTTATTTGTGGTTCTATGGCGCGGTTAGTCTTTCAGTAGTTCAAATTAATTCCATTCTCCGTAATCTATTTTAGCATCTAGATTATGTGTCGAATTTTCATAGAGGGATCAGCCTCTCTATTTGATAAGATGGTCCTAAAAAATGCTTATAAGAAACGAAATTGACTAAGCCTTTAGCTTCACTCAAAGTGCGCTGAGTCGTTCCGCGGTCTTTGGGTCGCCATCTTGACCACCATTGGAATTTTGAAAAAGATATGTGGTCCCAGCATGCTTTGGGTACATATTTTACCAGGCAAGGTCAGGTCCTCTTACAAGCTGGTAATTTCGAGTTTGGGTGTAAGAGTGGGAAACAACGAGAAAGTAAGTCTAACCATAATATTCTCGTATTGTGCTGAAAGTGACAAGAACCTCCGAAAAAAGCTTCTACCCAACCCTAACACTCTGCTTTGATTTAGAAAAGCTTGCTTCTTGCTGTCCAGTTCTATCTTTCCACTCTTTGCATCTTTCTATAAAAACCATCTTTCAATTTGAGCCATAAAACACGTCGCGATGCCTTCCGATTTCGACCGCTTCTTTAAAAATGTTTTTCCTTTCCATACGAAAGATAATGCAAAATAACATAGTGGCAAATTATTTAGAGATTGAGAATGCATTACCGATAAGCGTCATCTATCCTAATTCTGTATGACTCACTAGTTCATAGCTGCAAAGAATTTTTGTTTTCTCTACGTTTTCTGTCGTTGTTCTTTCCGTAACCTAGCTAAAGTTCAGATCGTACTTTCTCAGATTATGATGCCATAAACTTATCATGCCGACAGGAATAGCTCGTTACTGGGATTCACTAGAGAGCGACGAGTACCTCGAACCTTGCTACTCGGTGTGTTTTTCATTCATTTAAAAGTGTGCATTTTCATATTTGCTTAATTTGGTGAACTTTTCAGCATAACGGAAGTGCTCACAAACTGGACGATTGCCAAAAGCAGTGGCTGTCCGAACTGAGCGTCTCAGCTGAAAATGAATGTCAATCAATCCTTTACGCCAAATCTTTGCTTGACGATGCAAGAGATTCCGCCCCAGTGATACAAGAAGTGCCATCTGTTCGAACTGTCCAAAATGGCAGTGTTGAAAAGAAGTGAGTCCTGATTGCACATTCAAAAACCCGAACCATTGTGTTCATTGTTTTTCCATGTCTTTCGAGGACAAAAAGAAGTTTAATTGTTTTATAGTTTGTCCAAGTCCCATATTTCTTTGCGCACATCTCGAAGGTCTCAGGTCGCCAACTTCATAAATTTTTCTTTGCAAACTTTCTATCAAAACGGGTGCAAATCAAAATATCAGGTGTTTTGTAAGTTCGTAGAGTTCTAATTTTAGTAGCCATTTTGATGGAGCTCTAAAAGCAAAGTTTTTTGAGAGGCAAAAATTGGTGATTTCAGCAACTACACTTTCCGTATTTAGTCGGTAATGTACAAGCTCTGGCTAACATTTTACGCTTCCCCAGAAATTTTTGGAGTAGGGAATTCTCTAGATTGTACCAAATGCAGAACATCTACAGAATGGTAGACGTGTGCTTTATCCTTTTCCATAATGTCTTTTTAGATAGGAGACTACTTTTATATGCACACCATAGTCCCTTAAACAATTGTTCTTCATCACGTATAACAAATTTCAGATGAAAAATTCCCACTTATGGTCCAAAATATGGATCGAAAGTTGTAGGTGCCAAAATCCCCAAATTTTGCCCCTCAAAAAACTTTGCTTTAAGAAGTCGTCAAACAAGAAGATACAGATTTGCTCCAAAAAGGAACAACAGTTCTTGTAGAGCAAGGCCTGTTTTGAATAGTACAGGTACCTTGCCGTAAACCAATCGCTTCATCAACAAATGGCTGCTAAAATAAAAACTCTACGAACTTATAAAACGACCTAATAATTCAGCGAAATGAAACAAACAAACGTTGTGGGCAAAATATTCAAACTGCATTCCCTATGAATTTTTTCATAGCGAAACTTTTTCCGTATTCACTTCTAGCTACTTTCTGCGTTCAGAGTTTGTTACAAAGGCTCCTTATCGTTGCAGTACAATACCACCCGTAATTTGTGAAAAAAAAATGGCGGCGGCACTTAACTTACGCGGCGCCGCCATTTTTTTTCACAAATTACGGGTGGTATTGTATCTCAGTCTCAGCTCTTGGTTGTGAGCGAGTGTCTGTTCCTAAGAAAATTTATTATAGCTATTATATGCTTCATGTACTACCTACAGCTGTGATTAATTTGTTTCTCTGCTACTAAGAATATTCTAGCTAAATCGTGAATTGTCTGCATTGTATCCCAATGAGCATCACTCTGATACTTGATGATGACAGTCTTATCGTCACAATCAGCAGGTTATGAATTTTTTGGATGTTTGATAAGTTTACAATCGCGTTGATTTTTTTTTGAAAAAACAGAAATGCCGATTTGACAGAATAAAACACAAAAGCTTGCATTTTCTGAAATCTGCGAATCTACGCTAAGGGCACCATCAACCTGAAGTTTAATTCGCAATGAATCAGCTACAACATTGGGCAAAATATTTACGTAATTTTACGAAATCTTTGAAGCATTTATGTATCCAATCATAAGTTTATTCCACACAACTATTTATGCAAGGGTTAGAGGCCAGGTCGAAATGGATTCAACACTACGATATTGATATAAGTTTGATCCCACGTGCATGCATTTGACAATTGTTTGCTTTGCCATTTTTAGTTTTTCTTGCCCAGAATTATATTTTTTGAGTGGCACTTCAATCCACTTCATCGACAAGTTATTTAGGCTATTTAATTTCCTTAGAAAATATTTGAGTGTGTTGGCGATTTCCGATTAGTCAGAGGAATTATGCTCTGAAATCGGTTAAGGATGGTTGGTACAAATACATAATTGCTTTCAAAGTGTAAATTTGTTGATTCTTTCTTCGTCAAAAGCTCTCTGCATCAATTTCTCGAAACTTTGTAAATTTCGTATGTTGAACTGAAAATCTTGCCTTAGTAATTTGGAAGTTGTCTATCCTAGAAATTTGCTACATACTTGCTGCTTCTTCTTTAGTTTAGCGCCTTTGGAAAAAAATTTTTGCAACAAAAAAGTAAGTTTTTGTTTGTGCCCACGTAGTAAACCATCCTTCTTTCCTATCGAGCTATCTTATTGAATATCAAAAGTTAATTTGTTCATCTCTTCTAAAAATACCCCTACAGATTCATGGAGTATGATTTATTCGTCTCATCTTCTACTAATCAAATTGTTCTACCAATCGAAGTGACACTTTTGTTTGACAAACGTACATCATTGGTTATTGTGATCTAGCTATGCAAATGTCGTCATATGATGATGAAGAACTGCCAGGAAAACTGAGAAATAACGAACGGCTTTTGGTTGCCATGTTACACAAGTGTTTTTTCCGATAATAGCTATACTTCGGGAGCCATAAAACTTGCGTAATTTGCGACTTTGTTGTCGAGAGACAGCAGTTGCACACATTGCTGGCCTCAGTGACCCTCTCCCCTGCTTCCTGGATCTGTTGCTAATCTGAAGCTTGAAAATCTGAGCCACTCTATGAATGTTTCGCCTCACTGGGTGCGAAGGTATGGAGCCTTCAGACTTCTCCAACAAGTCTGATTATTTTCTAGAATGATTGAATTTCCCAAATCGCATAAATGAGCCAATATTTCCAAACATATCGTTACACTGAATCAATACGAGTATCCTTCAAACATCTACACATATACTAGCCTTATGTTAGATCAACGCATCTTCTGCCAATTTGCAAGGGGGAAACGAAACATAATTTGGAGCGAGCACATTATAGCGATCCACCTTTGAGGAGCCAAAAGAAATCTAAGAGTATTTGAAATCACCCGTTGCAGTAAAGTTGCCAAAAATCTTTGCCTAAAGCTAGATTTTCTATCCATTACAAAGCCATTAGATTTGTCACACATGTTTTAGAGTTTCCTTACAAGACATTATTCTAGACTTTGCTTGAGACAGAATTTTTGAAAAAAAATTTTAATAATTTCTATATGGCACAAATTCTACCAGCTCGTTGTTCATCAGCAAGAAAGGATCATGCACTTTTAAACGATGCCGCTTAACTTCACTTTTTGCATAGCAACGGCATGACATGTTCAGACAAAAAAGACAGGTCGTGTTCTTGAAATCTTTTGCTAAAATTGTTGAAAGGCCAAACGAATACCGAATTTTGGGCTTGAATTTATGACCTGCTAGCTGGCTTCCTCTTTCCAGCCCTGGTCATCGCTCAGAAGGTAGGCCAAAAACCATACTTGTCCTTCCTCCTACCCGTCTTTTTCGTTAGGTTTCGCTACATCCTGTGACCCTTTACTGCAGTCTGAACTGCATTGGAAGCCCACCCCTTAATCTCCTGCATAAGTTTACTTTACTGCAGCGTTTTTGAGCAACCTCTTCTTCATTTTAAAATCAAAATGAACTTTACTGCATCATCAAAATGTGCAAGCGCTTTAATAGCGACTGATAAGTTTTCATTCTCATTGTAACGCGCTTAAAATCAAGTTTTGAGAGGAGGATTTAACGAATCGCTTTGAAAAATAGCCTCAGTCACTTATGAGGTCGGAAACATATGTGTGCAAATGTTCAACTCAGTCGGTTTACGCCAAAGGAGTCTATAAAGAACATATGAGTTTTTTCCAATCAAGAAAAATTGTGCTGATGGTAAAAAGTCACGATCTTCGAATTTATTTCTTTTGCACTTTTCGATATTGGTTTAAATCAAATTTAGTAAGTGCTATGAAATACTACGTTTGACAAGCACTATCCCGAATCGTAGAAAAAATAAAAGCTTTCGCTAGTTGGCTATCTATTTTTTAGAGTACTGACAGTACAGAGCAGGGCTCGGCACGAGGTGGCTTACAAGCAAGCTGGATATCGTTTTTGGGACGAAAAGCAAAGGGGGTTTCGTTTTTGTGACCGAAGAGACACGGAAAATTGGCGACGGCGACCTTTTTTTTTAGTCGACGTTTCGTTTTTTGGGGGATTTTGGGGAATTTTTCAGGTTTTTAGAGGAAATTTGGTTGAGGGTCAAAGGGGACTTCGTAAAAATTCCCAAAAGTCAAGGGGGACTTCGTTTTTTCCATTTTCATCTAGCCACCTCGTGCCGAGCCCTGGTACAGAGGCTTGTGATGAGTATGTTAGAGAGCAATGATTAAGCCAGATCAAGTGCTGTTTTTGAAAGCTAAGGTAATAGCACTGGAGAGTAAATGTAGTCATATTGTGTAACTCAGAAGAAGAAGAGAGATCATCAGAAAGAAATCCCGAGAAAGAAAATTTTTTATTTGGTTTCCTCTCAAAATCGCAACTGCAATCGTTTCAGATGCAATTCGCTCTCGTCATCAACTGGTAACCTAACCATCTCGCCTCGGCTTCGCAAAAAATCTTCGCGTCAGAAACAAAGCAAAAATGGCACTAATGGTGAGTACACAGCGGTGTCGAAAACACATGTGAGGGCTGTAGTTTGTGCATTTTCAAAAAAAAAAGTAAACTGGATTACCGGTGCTAACGTCGTACGCAGGGCAGTTCCTCGTGGCTTCGTCTCAAAAACAGCATAAATATGTTATGCTAGGTCCGCAAAGTATGACCAATTCCTTTGTTCAGCTGCCCTCAGTGAGCACTACATACTCCTTTATAGCAGCGCGTCAAAGTCAGAAGCAACTTTGCTAGTTTCATAATACTATCAACTCGCAGTATTAATCCGTATGCATTTCTTTCCAATTTTTTTCGAAAGTGCACGAAATTTGCCCCCATAGTACATGTGGTGCTTGGCGCTAGGTCTCGTAATAACTTGCTTATGTGCGCTAACAAACTTTATGGGGCACTTTCAGGTATACGATTCTTTCTTCAGGTCTCCCATCATTCCCTAACTTCACTCCGATGCACTCTACCCTCGATCTGATAGAATTGTATAAATTTCACGAAGACTGCACATCCCCTCATTTATCCAGTGGTAAGTTTTGAATAAAAAATTCTCTGTGTCAACGGAGTTATTTGTCAACGTAAATTGTGGACAGATGATTTTCCCGAAGAGATAAAAAGACATTTTATTCGATGGTTTTTCTCAAAACTGCGCTTCTTTTATATCGTCATACCATCAGTGTCTATGTCATGCAAGGCTCTTGCTCAAATTTCTTCAAAAGATCAGCTGTCTCGTCATTCAAGGACAAAGTCAAGCATACAATCTCCGGCAACTAGTATCGAATGTGTTTGTGTGCTTTTAGTTTTTAATCTCACTCAGTGAAAACCCAGAAGCAAATTGCCCTTGATGAGAACCAAAAAATTTTCAAAACAAATTGGATACTACATGTGAGGTTTGAAGCGTACCTACAATGATAATCATCAAAAAATGGTTTGCTCTGGAAATAAGAAAACTTTATTTCTCCTAGTTTTCAGTTGCTCGAGGGAGTACTTTGCTTCCTCTTAATGGCTTATGCTTACATCTCAAAGGTTACACAAATCCTCTCACCTATTTCACGCCAATTTAAACAGAAAAAAGATGGATAATGAGGTGGGGGTTTGCTGGGGTGGAATTGATTGGCTGTAGTCAGAAGCTTTCCAGCAGATATCCATTTGTCCAAAAGTTTTTGACTTTGAGTATTTCACTCCAAGATCACTGAAATTCAAACTTGCCGTAACGGGTTGAGTGATGCTTATCTCAGTATCAGTAATTTTTTGCTTCATATTTTCACATTTTGTTTGCTATTTGCAGGATAGAACCTGTCAATGTGTCCAATATTCTGTCTTCCATTTGCAATAGATAGCATGTTGTTTTTTTTGTGGAAAAATTGGAGGTCTTCGCAATCTATCTGTTGAGTGCTCCATAACTAATAAAACATCCGCTAAAATTCTGGAAGCTTTGGGTTGCTTAAAAACTAAGTTCGTAGCATGTTTGTTCATGCGAATTTCCATGAAAAAATTTCTTGTTATTTTCTTTCTATGTTTCTTTGGTGAGAAGTGATTCGAAGCTTCTACTATCACATATCAACTTCTCAGAATTTTCTACTATCATCAAAGGACAATTATGCGCCAAGATGGCCAAATCTCTCTCATTTCTTTGACATTCTAAGCTTCATTTTCATGCTGTGATGGATGTAGCGATGGTTATTCGTTATTCAAATACTAATGTGCTATTTATACATGCAATTTCCTTATATCGCAAACAATAATAGAATTTCTCATCCGCTTTTTTGCAATTTTTTTATTAGAAAAGCAAAATTTTTCACATTTGCCACATGAAATCGGAGTTTCTTCCTTTTCTGCGCCTTTTTCATAGGGAAATAAATTCTATTCAATCATTATCATTACATTCCAAACCTCATTGGAGTTTTTTGCCAAAGATAATACTGGATGAAAATTTGCCTGTGGCATTTGTAGGAGCCGCAAAAGCCGAGATTATTTATTATCCAACCTGATATTATTTATAAAATCATAGCATGGAGTTAGCACTTTCAAGTTACGAGCTCCAAAGAAACGAACATCTGTTTGCTATCATAAATGCTCGCACTTTGCAGGTCACGCCAGCTGCATCCACTTAAACGGCGATGCCGAACCGGAGGCGTCGGCACGGGATCCGCTGTTAGCAGAGACTTTTTCGAGTGACTACACGGTGAGAGTTCATGCTGGATACGAGTTGTGTTATGTACTTGCCGGGGCACATGTGCAGCACATATGGGGCCCGGCTGTACATAGCCTAATCAATCTCGAGCTGCCCCTGATCCAATGGCGGTATAAAACGCGAATTTACAGAGCCCTCAGCCCGACTACAGATGCCCGGAAAACTCGGGCACCGAACTCAGCAGCAGCGAGCCGTGCAGCAGTGCTCAGACCAGGCAACCACCAGCGTACGATCAGGTAAGCATAGTTCAGGAGATTTGATTGTTAATGTAGTGCATCTACGGCAAAAGCAGCGTTTGTGCGAAAATAAATGCCACGATTGTAAATAGTGAACACTTGCTTACTATCATCGCGTAAAATTGTTCGTAAAGATCCAAATACCTTTTTTACGCGCAAATCTAGTCGGCAGTGCAAGAACAACATAATGTCGGTCGGATCGGCTACACTATAGCTAGCAGTCACATAACTTAACTACGATGCTCCCCTATGGCCCCGGACAGACTTCACGCGATTTGATCGTCGCGACTGAATCGCGACGAGACAACTGTAACAACATCATTCCATGCCGATCAAGTTGCATTTCGGTTGTGATACTTTTCCAGCCCGAAATTTTTGAATGTGGAATGAAAATGAATGGAAATGTTGGCGATTGAGTCGCGACGATCAAATCGCATGAAGTCTGTCCGCGGCCTATGGAATACACAAATTCTCTACTTCCTTCAGTTTTTGATCGCATTTTGTGAGAAATTCCGTTAAACTTGGGTTTTTCGCAAAAAAAAAACTAAGAACAAGGAAAACAATGGAAATAGTAGCATCAGCACATTTTATGCAAAACCTATAAATCTCTCAACGTTGACTTGCAAAGAATCTTGCCTTTACACCCTACTTATAATCCAGTTATGTTAGTTAGTTTTATTAGAGATTTCGTCCACAAACTGCAATACAAACCATGAGCTTTTTAAATTCAACTTGATATATTCGCGGTCTCTTCAGAACCAATATCATCCAGTTTTGGGGATAAATTAGCTTTGGAGATAAACTAGTAGAATTCTCGTTAGTGCCATGATTCAATGTCCCTGCTACTAAAGGAGAATAAAAGAAGTGACGTCATCGTTACCACATAATTAAATTTCACTTTGCTGATTGCAGCCAGTGGTGCACAACGAGCTTTTGCATTTCTAAAAACCACTTACCTTTCATTTTGGCTAAACTTTCAGGCTCTTTTTCTTCACTGTTCAAAAGGCATATCGGATTACAGACTGATTATCCAGTTTCGCTTGCAAAAGCCCTTTGCTGTTATAGCTAGTGGCACTTTTCTTTCTTGATTACCATATTTTCATAAGTATACGTCATTTTTAGGGGAGGGAGAAAGATAGGAATGCGAAATTTGTGAGTTGTCTTAGAATGTAAAATGCAAATGTTTTTTTTGTGTTTGAATTTAACTACTATTAGGTTATCCGGAAATTAATGTCCGTTTTGTATTTCAACCGCGATAAGTCATACACTTCTCATTTCTGAATAGGTTGCAAGGTACCATTCGATAGAGCAAAGCAAGCCCTACAAGATGTTAGCAAGAAAACGGAAATTTTCGTGCATTTGCTAAAGTGTTGCTGTGCTGCCCTCACATAAATACAGGGTGTCCCAAAAAAATGTGAAGACTATTTGATTGTCAATAACTTCCTTGCTTTGATGCCTTTCGCCGAGCATAAGGCACCCTTCTTTAGAGCGAGGTTCAACTTAGATCTGCAGTAATTTGCGAATCGTTGATCGCTCATCATTACCGTAGGATTACGGTAGGAACTTCGACAAGGATTTTAGGTTATTGGAGGCCATATTCTGCCTCGGAGCAAAACCAAACAAGCCAAAAACTCTTATACTATGGTAATGGCAGCCGCTGATTTCTAATATGAAGTTTCCACTTTACTGCGATGCTTCTTTCCAAGGTTATCCCAAGTAAACCGTATTAACCGACCTTCCAGCATTTGTCAGAAATGTGATTACACCGTCAAAAAAGCTAAAAACACTGTAAAAAGTTGTGCAACAGAATCAGCGTACCCGAAAACCCTAGTATACGATTTTACAGATTTTTTGGAAAAAAATTTTGTCAAATGGCATATTTCACAATGGATCCACATGCTGAAAGTTCATACCGTAATCCTACAGTAACGAAGAGCCATCGATGATTCGCTCCATGCTATAAATCTAAGTTGAACCTCGCTCTACAGAATGGTGCCTTAAGCTCGGCGAAAGACATGAAAGCAACGGAGTTATTAACGATCAAACAGTGTTCACATTTTTGGGACACCCTGTAGTTTTATACTACAAGCCTGTAGAAGTACCGTAAAGTTTCAGCTCTCTACGAGCCTTGGTTCTCGAGAAATATCGATTATGGCTTTTGCTAGTCAGATGGTCCAAGCCAAAATTCATATTTCTCGAGAACTAAAGCTTATAGAATGCTGAAAATTTACGTTTGTTCTTCTACAGGCTTGTAGTATACAACTACTCATGTGGGGACGGCAGAGCATCACTTTGGCAAATGCAAGAAAATTTCCGTTTCCTTGATTTCTAGAAGGTGAAAAAAGATGGCAACGGCGTATATAGATGTCTTATGTGGATAGTGTTTACGTGAGCAAGTTAGAATTTTTGTAGGATTTTTGAGAACGGAGTTACAACTTTTTCCAATTTTTCGGTCAGCTGAATGTTTTTTAGTTTTTGGCTCGAAACTCGAAGTTAATGAGAGTTCTTGCAAAAACAAAATAGCCATCTTGTAGAGCTTGCCTTGCTCTATCAAATGATACCTTGCAACCTATTCAGAAATGAGAAGTATATGACTTATTGCGGTTGAAATTCAAAACGGAAATTAATTTTCGGAAAACCTAATAATATAATCAAAATCTTCAAAAATTAACTTGGCTTATCAATACTATTTTTAGGAAATCGTAGACACTACATTTTTTCAAAACCTGGAACAAGAAATCTAAAAAGATTACCGAAAACTGTACCTTTTTTCAGTTACTTTATCTTTATAATATACATTTTTGGGGGAGAAAGATGGGAATGAACTGCGAAATTCAAAGTGTGTCTTATTGAAATGTAAAATGCAATTACTTTTTTGCGTATAAAAAATATAACTAATATGATCAAGATCTTGCGAAAATTGACTTGGGCTATCATTACTATCATTAAGGAGGCGTGTGACATGATATTTTTTTCAAAATCTGGGACAAGAAAGTTAAAAACCTTACCGAAGACCTCAATGGACATGCGAAATTCAATACTTTAGATGATAACCGACCAGTCCCCCCCCTCTGTCTCACGGAAAAATCGTGACTTACGCCATTAATAGACAAATTTATATATTAACCTTACGTTTGGACTTCAGTAGTTATTTCAGAACTCTTTTACCACTACAATTTCTTGCGTTAATCTGATGATATCCAATTCCACGATTATTACTTGGCCATTATCGGCACCTATAGAACAAGAACATTTCCAACCACTTATTTGCTGGGTTCTTCTTATCAATCGGTTTGCTCACAGGCTCATAACATAAACCAAACAAAAAAAACTCCCCGTCATAAACTCGAATAGCTCTTCTCAGGAGCAAGGCTCGGCACATGTGGCTTACAAGCAAGCTGGATATCGTTTTTGGGACAAGAAGCAAAGGGGGTATCGTTTTTGCGGCCGAAAAGACACAAAATTGGCGATGTTTTTTTAGTCGACGTTTCGTTTTTTATAGAGATTTGAGGGATTGTGGTCTAGGGTCAGAGGGGACTTCGTAAAAATTAGCAAAATTCAAGGGAGACTTCGTTTTTTGCATTTTTATTTAGCCGCCTCGTGCCGAGTCCTGCTCAGTAGAATGTGCTTTTTCAGCGTGTCCATGCAAGCCTTCAATCAGAGTATACTAATAACTTCCTGCGCTGTCCATCAATAAGGTGAAAGTTTTGGATAAAATAAAGCGACCACAAAGTTTTTTGATCACTCAGATGCAGTCTTAGAATGAAGTAATATCTAGCCATCAGTAAAAGAGGAAGAATATACTATGTACATAATCAAATAAGTGATTTATGCTCCCTATTTCTCCTCTTTTTTCGGGTTTTCACATTTTGTTCGGCATTCACTCTTCAAGTTTTTATGAAACTCACATTTAGCATTAACAATGCATCGCTTTCGCAGCGGAAGTCGTGGTTATAGCGAAGAAAAGGCCCGCGGCAAGCCATTCGCCAGGCATTTTTCCTAACGCTTTCTGACCAACTCAGACAATCAAAGGCTCTCAGCCGGCCCCACCAAAAGCGTCGTTGCCTTATTGCCATCACTTTTCGCTTCCCGCTGATAAACTTTGCTAGAACTGGCAGCGAGCGGGCTGCCATAAAGTCTTCAGCGCAAAGCGAAAGTGGCTGTCATGTCTTATCGCCGCCACATTCGCTTCGCGCTGAAGATTTTATGGCGGACCGCTCGCTGCCAGTTCTAGCAAAGTTTATCAGCGGGAAGCGAAAAATGGCGGCGATAAGGCAACGACGCTTTTGGTGGGGCCGGCTGAGAGCCTTTGATTGTTCTGAGAAAGCAGTCTTTTCAATTTCTACATTTTGTCACTAATGTGTTCACAGGGCATCTTCCTTTACCGTTTGCTCGCTTTCCGCAAGGAAATAGGACCACCTCGTCAGCTTCGTAATCGAATAGTCGCTCGGTTCACATGTATGCGGGGGCGCAGTGTTGCAATAATTCTTTGTTTTCCGCACTGTTAGAGTTGCTGGTGAACTGTGCTAACATAGTTTACTTCTCTGCATGAGCTTCTTTTCTTTTCTAACTTCTGCTTGAACATTACCACTCCGTCATCTAAGTTTTTAACTTCTCTTTTTAATCAAAGATTCAAATTTAGATATTTTAAAATTCTTTAGGAATGAAAGCATAGCAGCTTTTTGAGCTCAAAAATCTTGAGGGGGGTTGAAAAGGGGGCCACAAAACTTCTTCCGATTGAAGGTTAGCCATCCCCTCTAAAAATCCTCGTGCTTCCCCAATTTTCCATAAGCTTTCAACACTGGAAATTGAAAAAAGGAGTTGAATCGCTCTTTGCTAACGCAAATCTTTTCACAAAGCTGAGCTGAATGCCCAAAAATTGTACACACGTTTACGCAGTTCTCTCACTCAAGATCGCTCAGTACTTGATCTATTTATTCAACATAAACTTTCAGATCAATTCAGTTTTTCTTCTTTTTCCTTTTCGAATGAGGAACTTGATGCAAAGGCTTGAAATTAAGTACATGCAAGGAGAAAAAAGAAGCGATGCGCATTGTCAATAATATCCATCGAATTGTTTTCTCTATTTGAATTATGAAATGATGGAAGAGTAAGTGAACGCCTGCTCAAAGCAGTCATAATTTAGTCGCAAAGTCGCAATAACTCACTGGTCAATATGGAACGGTCAGAAAAACCTACCTAGTAGTATTGGGGTTTCTATGTATCATTCTTCATTTAAATGACTTCTAATTGTACTGCCTGACGAAAATGAACCTCCCTTGACATGCGACTTCCTCATGCTTTTAAGTATTGTAAAGCATTCCGCACTGCATTTTGATAACAGACAAATCCCACACAGCTCAGATTAAGCAGCTTATTATGAGGCTTGATTTAATTGAGCAGCTCACTCTTCGTACGTCTAGGACGAAAAAGGGATATCACTCAAATATCACATGTGCCCTAATGTCATAAAATGTTTATGACAAGTACACTCATAGCTCAAGTGTTTCTGAGTTGAAGATGTACCGCAGTATAGTGAGACCTTTAACAAAAAAGTTTCCATTTTATGCACTTCATTAAGCTAAAGGGTGCAAACGAAAACTTGAAAAAAAAGTATGAGTCATCACAAAAACACAACTAGTAATCAAAGGCTATCACACAACATATCAATCACACACTGATCAAGAGCAAGAATATATTACTCCCCATTTATGCCGGAATCTTCTGCTAATCTTGATTCGTTTATCAGAATTTACATTATAATTTAATATTTTTAAAAATCAAAATTTAACCTATGATTTTTTAAATTTTAACTCAACAATATGATGGGTATTTAGTTCTTGTGCAAAAAAAACATGTCCTTGAATTGCTATCGAAAACTTTCTTTGAGTGAGTTGTTTTTGTGGAAGTTTTGAAGCGGAAAAATCAACTCTTTGAATATCATTGGCATTAGTTTTTGTGGGTATCTCGTCTTTGATTAATAGTTGTGTTTTTTCTTCGATAAAGCAATATAGCGCGAATCGCGAGTACGTTTCAAGAAGATTATTTTTAGCTACGAATCAAAGTTGGACGAAATGGTTTCGCTCGACTAATAGTGAATAAAAGCTCTACCCAGCGACATCCGACACCAGTGAATCGAGACGAGCCTGAGCAAACGCACGAATTCGCCAGAATGAGGTTGGCCAGCTCCATATGGCCGAGCAGCCATGAAAAAAGGCTGTTCGTCGTCGGAGACTTGTCACAGCGAAATTCACATTTGAAGTGTTCCCATTGACATCTCGAGAACGCAGAGAGACACTTTTCAGCTGTAGTCAGCAGCCGTCAGAGGTCTCCCGGGTCCCGCCCCACGCCCCCTCTTCACCCAAAAGCATGCATTCGGATAGCACCCTTAGCGTCGATTCCGGTCAATGCTCAGGTAAATCTCTTCCCGAGTAGCAATTTAGGCACACTGAGCTCTCGTTGGTAAAGGTTTTTCCTCAAAATTCTGAACTTCTTTATTGTTAGGTGACGTCGCTCTAACCTCACAGCATTCTTTTTCTTCGTCAAGAGAAGAACGTGAGGACAGAGAGGTATTTGAAGAGACTTCATCTATCTTCCATGTTTACCAGCAACGATGTCTTCCTGGATATGCTCGAATTGCCAGTAAGTGTGAGATCCCTTGAGGAATCAATTTTAATTGTTTTGTCTGGAATTCGTTTGGATGCAAAACAACTCCTTTGCAAATAGAAAATTTATAGTTTGTCATATAACTGGCATTCTTTTACCTAACATGCATTGAAAATGTATTGCGAAAGTGGACTATTTTGCGAGCTCATCTGATTTTTTTTGTCATTTAACACTCTCAATTTACTTTAAGTCAACGAAAACAATGCACAGTGATGATTTTGCGCCATAAATCACAGAGCTAACGATTTGTAGACTTTGTGCATGCTCTGGGGAAATGATTTTGCTGTTTGAACAAAACAAAAGCGAAAAAACTCAATTCCTATACAACTTCATTTAATCGCTTCATCTTCTTACAACGATAGACATTGGTGTTCCACGAACTTTTTGATATGACATAACAACTTGTTTTGTGGTTTTTAATATGAAAAAGAATTTGATAAATACTAATTAGGAACGCAAGAAATTCAATTCCTTTTTGTTCATTTTCTACACTATCCGGTTTCGGGGCTTAGAACTATACCGGTAGTGCGGCTTCCTTGGTGCCCCTCGTCAGTAGTTCCCAAGGAAGCTTCAAAATTATCAAATGAAAATCTAAGATAAGATCTAAAACAGAAAATGGCGTATAAAGAACTTGAGTAAAGAAGGTGCAAAATCTTTCGGCTCTTGATGCGAGCTACGAGCAGTGATTAGAATTACTCCTCTGGGGTTTCCCCGAGATAATCATTCCATGAAAGAACGTTATTCTCTCCATCACTAATTCAGTAAATCACTCTATTTGAATTAGTCAGAAAGGACTCATGCGGTCGGTCGTTAGTGATGTGATAGCTATACATGATGGGTTTAAACTCTGAACAAAATGGCTGAAATTAGTTGCCTGCTGCAAAGCAATGAAAATCTGTTTTATTTTCTACACAGCGACTATGTTAGCAAAGCCGCTGACGTAATCAGTTTTATCCGGAATTGTCAAATTGTATGCAGGAGTATATTTACAATTTGTTTTGATGATAACATTATTCAGCAGTCGGCAACGCTTGTATCCAATATGAGAAATTCCTCTTAAAATGTCGAATTCTACGTTTTCACCCATCAATGCAATCGTTCTATCCAATTACCGTATTTGAGCCCATCAGAAAATATTGTGAAACAAACAAAATTCGAAGAAAACTGGAAGTTTATAACTCCTCATGGAGGCCTGCAATCAGCACGCGCGTTCTTAGTTAGCGAAATTATCCTGAGCATCATGCACATTTAAGTATTTATACTAAACATTCTTATACGCAGCAGTTTTATTTTTATGATTTCAACTCCCCTATCAATAGCACACACCAGGCTGCTCTAGACAGTTTGTTTTTGTTTCAGAGTGACTAAATTCATTTCGGATGTCAATTAACTTCAAAAATATAGGAAATGTTCCTGAAAACGAAATTTTTTGGGACCTAATAAAAGGATTTTTATTTGTTCCACACCTAACAGCGTTCGCAGCGTTGTGAGATGAGCCAAACCTTTTTGATGTAAGAAAACTGTCGCATGTTCCAGAAGCTTTTAAGAGTTTGAGTGTTTTCTATATCTTATCCGCACTCAGATTTACATACTAACGGATTTTTTCTGAGTGCATGGGCACCATCTATGTAAATGCGCCTTTCACGAATTGCGTCATCCGTCTTTACTTTTCATCTTTCTCAGCTTAGTGACTACTTTTTTCGACTGAACGACTTCTTCACTCCTGTATTCTATTACGGAAGTACACTCTTGGGCAAAGTTGCAGTCTTTGTTGTCAGTCATTTCCACTCTTTCAGCGAAACCCATGGTTTAATTTTGTATGAAACAACAAAAGAAATATTCGACATATTTCTAGCACATCTTGTAATCATTTTCAAACCGTGTGTTGAGTAGCAAATGATGGATTACGCAAAGTTACAAAGAGGATTGTAGGTTGCACTCATCTAACAATAAGTGGATTACATAGACTGATGGACTCTAGTAATATTTGGCAGCAGAAAAAAAAACGCTTGAGATCTCCGGGAATCAGGGTATGGCTCAAACACTTTTCAAGGAGGTGAATGCAAAATGACTTGAAAAAGAAACAACATAAGAAATCAAAGAGAAAATAATCAAATATGTATGGGGAAAAATCGCTGGCAAGACTAATTGTTCCAATTAAATGACTACCCAGTCAAAGTGTAATAGAAATATTTGTATGCTATATATATTTTTTGAGACCTGGATCACTTAATAGACCTCCGGTCCCGCCAACATTCCTGCTTCCATTTCTAAATTCCGCTATCTCCTCTACAAAAAATGATATTATATAACAAACTAGTTGACTTACCCGGCTCCGCCCGGCCCTGTCATTATTATATTCGTAATCAGCATGCTCGATTACCCCCCTGTGCCAACTCCCAGCCCCGTAAGTTAACTCTGCAAAGAAATCGATAAAAATGGATAAAATCGATATCGATCGATGATTAAAAGTAGCCTATGACACCCGCAGGGGCCCAAAGTGTATGTGTGCCAAGTTTGGTCCGGATCGGTTCAGAAATGGAATTTTCTATTCGGAACATACGTACAGACAGACAGACATACAGACAGAAATGGAATTTTCTACTCGGAACATACGTACAGACAGACAGACAGACAAACAGACATTCAGCTTTATATATAAGATGCTTTATGACATAGTGGCTATTACCATGATCGATTTGCATGATTTGTCACATAATGTTTTCAGGCACAATGGATCATATTCTCCGAACTGCCTCATCAATACATTCGCTGTTATCCGGTCCTTCCAATCCGAGCACGGCCAGGGAACTCCTTACAAAAACAAATCTCTTCATTCAAATAGTGGAAGCTAGCCCTTGTGCTCAGCATCTACCTAAATATGTAAGCGATTCTTGTCAACAAAGAGTTTCAGCTTTATGAAGATTTTGTCAGGATACGAATGTCGTAAAACTGCAGATTAATGATCTTGAACGAGAATCTGCAGAAACTGGAATGCCACTCACTATTACCAATTACTTTACGATTGTTGTGAGGAAAATGCTCGAACAAGTGTTACAGATATTCTGCAAGGTAAGCATGTATTTTCTTATGCAAATGGTAGCTAAAATGGTAATTTGTATTGTTTTTAGATCATTACGCGGTATCTGACAGAATGCGGGAACAAGGATCGGTTAGTGCTTATTGCGCTGGAGCATCTGATCCATTTGGTACTGTTTGGGGATGAACTCTGCCTGGAGGCCATACAGGTATATCGCCTATGCTCTAATCGCTTTAGAACTCACAGGATCTCACCAATCAAAGTGGCTCTGCGGTGGCGGCAACACTTGCGCGTAAAATTGCCATGCAGCGTATCGTTTTGCACCGCATGATTCGCGCGCAAGTGTTGCCGGCAACGCGAGGAAGCTATAGTAATTGTCTAATTGTAATAATTTAATAATAATTTAATTGTAATCTTCTAAAGGATGTGCACGTACGTATGCTTTCTGATTTCAGTGTGGTGCTCTTCATTCGGTCCTGAAACTCGTCCGACAGCCTTCAACGCCGCCGGACACCTGCAAGCTATTACTTCGAGCATTGGCTGTTCTTTGTGGGGTCTCCAAAGGTTGCTTGTCTCTATTAGCGGTAAGCAAAATTCTAAAGTTGTAAATAAAAATATCTGAAAACATATGGTGATAGATTTGGACTATCTCACATATAGCTCCCTCCGGCGCAAGATTTGGCAGGGGACACCAACATCGTTTTTTCAATCAAGTAGATATAGTGCTTACTCAATTATAATTGATTTTAGCAGCGATCATTTCGACTAAAGTAAAAAACAGAAATTAGGTGGTGCACACCTTTGCCATTTTCTCAGTGAAAACTGAACTTGCTGCTGCTAAAATGCTTAAACCAACAACGCGTCTTTTGCTTCAGATCATTCAAGTAAAATTCACTTGTGTTTCTCGCTATTGTGAGGGACCCGTCATACTTCGCCGAAAAAAGCCCAAAAGCGCCCAAAAAAGCCCGAAAAAGCCCAAAAAAGCCCAAAAGCGCCCAAAGAAGCCCGAAAAAGCCCAAAAAAGCCCAAAAAAGCCCGAAAGCGCCAGAAAGAGCCGGAATAGAAACGAAATTTTGGTAGAATTCTGACATTATCTTATCATGCGGACGACAGAAAATGACAAAAAGGCTCGATTGCGAAGTCAACACACATGCCTTAGCGCCAAAACGTGCGAGAAGTGTTCCGGCTCTTTCTGGCGCTTTTGGGCTTTTTCGGGCTTTTTCGGGCTTCTTTGGGCTTTTTGCTTTTTGCTTTTTTTTGCTTTTTTCGGGCTTCTTTGGGCTTCTTCTTTGGGCGCGAAGTATGACGGGTCCCTGAATACTTCTAAGCTGCCTACGTAACTCATGATGATTCTTGCATTCATTTTCTACATAAAACTTTCTCCTCTAGACCCATAAACGTTCTACATATAATTGTAACATTTACACTCCCCTTCTATATGTTCGGCTCTCTCCCCCGTTATGTCCCTGTTTTTGTCAAAACTTATTTGAATTCATACGAGGTTACTACACTGTTTTTTGAAATGACTGAGTATTGCTAACTTGCTGAAGTAGTTTCGGTATATACCAAACATTCGTCATCAGCATATTTGTCTGCAATAGACAAAAAATTCACTCCAGTGATCTGTTGCATGATAAGGTGAAATTGATGCAAAACACACGTAGAGAAAGGTCCATAAATAAAAACAGAAAGGCAGATAAAATGCTAATCGCAACATCTGTATCATTTCAAAATCAATCAAATCATGCGATCCCGAGTAGTTCAAGTTCTGATGATTACAAAGCGTTCGCTAACTAAGAGCATATCCATAAATTCATAGTTATTACAAACCGCAATGCTCATTGCAGTTGATTTCAAGATAAATTTGGCGGATTTTTTGAATTTTTGTAAATTTAACTGAAGATGAAAATTTGGATGATCACTGCATGCTTCGCGCAAAAGCTTTTTTGATTTTTAGAGCATCCCCAAGTCAAGATCCTGTTAGGAATCCAAAAATTCACTCGTGACTTCATGAAACTTATGTTCAAGCTACTTAACTCGGTGCGACGGTTTTGTCGCGACAGCTCAAATAATAGCACTTTCGAAATTTCAGCAATTGTTCTAAATCACTAGATTCTCAACAACCCGGTGATGTTCTCAGTTTCTAAGATAGTTTTTAAAAAAGTTATAGCATTTCGACGGTTTTGCCACGATAAACTATGTCGCAATGAAATAATTTGTCGCAATCCGTTTTTTCCCAAGAATTAGGAACGCAATTGTATAGCATGCTCTTTGTAGCAAGCGAATCAAATGCTCTTGTTTTCCTTCCATCGTTTAGTCTTTCCAGAAATCCTATCATGGACAAGTTTTCTTATAAGGTGCTCGTTTTGTCTTGCAAAGGTTTCCTACTCACCTCACAACCTTCTGCACAACCCTTCCAAATTAAGTGTTAAATCAAATCTCTTCGGATATGTAAGCTAATTTCAGCTCGGTGGTCTCGATGTCGTGTTATCGCACCTCTCTGGGAACCAAGTTGCAGTGTCTATAGAAGCCTCAGGAGTTCTGACGCAACTCACAAATCCTCAACATTCATTCGTTCAGCTGCACAACGTTGGACCTATTTTGATTCGGTTGCTAGGTAAATCTAATGGGTTACTTCATTCTTGCGCCAAAATTTTCACAAAAAAAACAGTTCCTTCTAGTTTCAACGAATTCGTTTGGTTAATTTCAATTTGAAAAAAAAAACACTGTTTGTATCTTACTTTCAAAAATCGCTTCTCGCGGATATACAAGATGTTGAAGACAACAAATGTATTCTTTTATTTGGTCCCTAAAAATTCTAAAATAACCCAACAAAATTTATATTCACTTTTGACTGTGGTTCCACCTTACTCATTATAAATAAGATAATCCACGGATAATTATGATTTTTTTGTTTTCATCGTGATCATAATAGATTTCCTTGTAGTAGAATTACGTTACAAAAATAGATGAAAAGTTTACATTATCTGGTGCAAGACTTATGACCAGCTTGATACATTTACGGTATGTGAAACTCATCATGTGTTTGCAGACCTCATCGATACTTGTAATACCGGTGAAACACTGCTTCTGGTGTCAGCAGCTCTGTCAAATGTTTCTCTACAAGATCCACAAGCAGTAGATATTCTTTATCAGTGAGTTTAGAGCCCAAAACGTGTAAGACACTAAAAACGACATTCAACGTTCAGGAATAATGCCATCATTCGACTCATCAATGCCTACAACAGGCAGGACTGTTCAACTATTTTTGTGCAAGAACAAGTAGATCTTGATTTATCACATCACCTCCTTTACCTAAATTTCCATCTCTTCAGATCGTTACTGTTCTATCTCGGTTGGCAGCTCGGCGCTATGAAGAAGCACTCGTGTCACAAGGAGCTGTTCCGATGTTGCTGGAGATGCTTACAGTAACTGACACTCAACATTCCGATTACTGTCGACGCATTCGGTACAAGGTTGGTGGAGCTCAGCACAATCTAACTGTGGAAGTATGAGCTAATGGTTTCCAGGCAGCAGTCTGCATTGGAACTCTTGCAGCCACCGGTGTCGGCCTCAAAGCGCTCTATGTCAATCAAGGTAATCGCTCGAGTTTTTGTTCCAAGATACAATCCAAACTTGTTGCCATAGGAATCTAGTCTCTTTTTTCCACCATGCACAAGATCTTTTGAGCAGAACTAGCTTAAAGGCCCACCAGATTGAGGGTATCTGGCTCTCGTAATAATGGAAGACCCCCTACCTAAGCGATGACTGAAGTTCGTAGCGAAAAAGGGAGTCTATCGAGCCTGAAATTTGCTCCGAAAGTGGCTCGAATCTTACGGTAGGCCCGAATGCCGCCCGCACAGCGATTTCGAACTGCAAGGGCAGAGCACGCATAGCGCACACAATCACGAGCGCAGGGTCCCGCAACGATTTCGCGTTTCTACCTTGCACCATCTCGTACTGGTCCGAACCTACCGTAAGATTCGGGCCACTTTCGGAGCAAGTTTCAGGCTTGGTAGACCTCCTTTTTCGCTCCGAACTTCAGTCATCGCTTAGGTATGTAGGGGTCTACTATTACATTACTACGAGAGCTGGATACCTCCAGTCTGGTGGGACACTGCCTTTAAGATCCTAGTTTTTCTTCTTTCCGTCGATTTGTTGTTGATCTAGGATAGAAGAAGCAGATTTAGATAAGGTCATGCAAGTTTTAGAGAAGTGATTAACAATCAGAAATCCTGCGACCTTGTTACTCTCGTTCTTAACAGGGAAGGATACTTGGTGACGGCCATTCATAATAGTTTGTATATTAAAAAATGCGCCTTTTGATGCTGGTTTAAGTATTGTTTTCCATATCTGCGAAACGAGAACCTGTATGGAGTTATGATTATTTTTTCAAGAATGAATTGCCTTACTGCGGAGGGTGAAAATCATTGATAAAAAATTTTCTTTCTTCTTCAAATGCTGAATATGATTTAGATAAGTATAGTACAATGTACACCCTTCAAGATTCTCCTCAATAGCTTTAAACGATAAAGTAGACCAAGTTGGGTGACTTTAACTACCTAAAAGTACGCAAATTTTTTACGAGAAAAAGTTCGTAACTGCCTTCATATGATCGTTTCGCAGAATTCGAGGACAGATTTAGAATCAGCGTTTCGAGTTGCACCTTATGGTTTACTCACATACCAAAAGGCTGGAGTCACCAAGTATCCTTTCCTTGTTAGTCAAACAGGCGCAGCTTTGTAAAGTACACCTTAATAGGTCATTGGAAATAGAATGACTGAAAGAGCTAAACAAGTTACAACGCAAAGCACGATATCCATCTAGCACGATAACCATAAAAAAGTCTTTTTTATGCCCTGTTTCGAGATTTAGAAGATGCTAAGATGTTTGATCTTCTGGAGCGACTTTTTTTTCTCTCCTAGCAGCACATATCATAAGTCTGGTCAATCTTAACTGCTTGAAAAGTGATTTCTGTGGACTCCTTTCGTTACCTGTAACTATAAAAACTTTTCATATGAATAAGTGTATGTTCGCATTCATAATGGAAAACGTTGACGAATGCAAGAACTTTCATGAGAATCTCGTAAAAGAAATAAGCCACGCGGCGGAAGATATTGATACTCTTGTAAACTCGAACAAATTTTGTTCAAAGCCTGTTTATTTAATACTAGCTGGCTTACCCGGCTCCGCCGTATCCGGACCAAACTTGGCACACATACACTTCGGGCCCCAGCGGGTGTCACAGTCCACTTTTCGTTATCGATCGATGTCGATTTTACCGATTTTTATCGATTTTTTTGCAGAGTTCACCTACAGGGCTAGGAGTTGGCACAGGGGGGGAAGTGGGCATGGGGATTCCGAATACAATATTAGTTTTCAGGATCGTCCATTACTTTTATCGATTTTATCGATTTTTTTGTAAAGTTTGACCTGCGGGGCTGGGAGTTTGCACAGGGGGGGTAATCGAGCATGCAGATTACGAATACAATATTAGTTTTCAAGATCGTCCATTACTTTTATCGATTTTATCGATTTTCTGAAAATTTGAGCTAGGGGCTGGAATTTGGCAAGGGGTGTAATCGAGCATGCCGATCACCCCCCTTGGGGATGATCAGCATGCTCGATTACCTCCCTGTGCCAACTCCCAGCCCCCTAGCTCAAACTTTGCAAAAAAATCGAAAATCAATAAAAGTAATCGATAATCCTGAAAACCAATATTGTATTCGGAATCCCCATGCTCGATTACCCCCCTGTGCGAACTCCCAGCCCCGTAGCTCAAACTTTGCAAAAAAATCGATAAAATCGATAAAAGTAATCGATAATCCTGAAAACCAATATTGTATTCGGAATCCCCATGCCCACTTCCCCCCCTGTGCCAACTCCTAGCCCTGTAGGTGAACTCTGCAAAAAAATCGATAAAAATCGGTAAAATCGACATCGATCGATAACGAAAAGTGGACTGTGACACCCGCCGGGGCCCGAAGTGTATGTATGCCAAGTTTGGTCCGGATCGGTTCAGAAATGGAATTTTCTATTCGGAACATACGTACACACAGACAGACATACAGACAGACAGACAGACAGACAAACAGACATTCAGCTTTATATATAAGATCATAGTATTTCGGAGAAAGTTCTAGTATAAGGATGAAGCGCAAAACCACATTATTTTTCCTTTCCTTGCTTAATTTTACTTCAGAAAATGAACTTCCAGCTTATGCGATCCTCACAAACGTTCTGCAGATGGAGAGTTCACCAGCAAATCCGTTGAATATGATCTGCACGAACATTCGCAATCGTCTTGAAAGCAAGTACCAGATCGAAAGTGCTGTATAACCACACTCAATTATGCATGCCTTTTTCCTGAAGGCTAGCGTTGCATTTGTCATCTGTCTTGCCGAATTTCCCATATGCCTGTGTACAGAACAATTATCGTTACATTTTATGGAGTTTTCACTTATCAATCTGTATATAATTAATTACAATCAGATAACTCGAGATATATCAAGGAATAAAACATTCTAGTCAATCTGTACAGATACCGTAGAGGTAGAAAGTACTATAAGGTAAAATGAGCCACAAGGTTCGAGGCTCAGTGGCAGGCTCTTGGATCACCGCCTGAAGAAGCGAGCTTCTTCACCCTCTCCACGAGGCTCTCCGACAATCCATGCTGCTTCTTCAACTCTTCAAGTTCCGAGAAGTCCGTATATCCAGCGCAGTAGGCGTTCATCTATACAAGAAAAGAACTCATAGTTACACTCATTTGTAAAAATAAGCTTTTCACCTTCGCAGCCAGAGTAGTGTCGACTACCTGGGCATCGCTGAGATTTAACTAAAAAGAATGGGCAGTTTGAGCTGAGTTATTTATAAACTGTGATTTACCTCGTCAAAGATGCGACTGCATCGCAACCAGTATTTTTGATGATAATCTTCGGCTTGATAAAATTTATCCAACTTCACAACGTACGTCTCGATATTGCCATATTTCTTCTGCAATCATAACCCTCGGAGTCTCATATGAGTGCTGACGGGACATTACAGCTTATTGTAGTATAATTCCAATGCTTTCTTCAAACGTATGTGATAAAATTATTTTGCAGAGTACGAATGCATTGCCAATACTCTATGTGGAATAGCCGTGTTGGGACTAGCTTAGATATATGCCGAAATATTTTCGTAAAACATCAAAGTAAACTTTTCTCACAAAATTTTCAGGTTATCCGATATAGCACTTTTTTAGGGCAAATAATGTTGTCAAAACCCTCAGAAAACTATTGCGAGTAATGTAAAAGTTTCATTTTCGTGGTAAAAAGAGGGAAGAGGATCTAGAGGGTGTTCAAGTTCAAAAATTTACTTTTTTAAGAAGAGTTTGCAAATGCAAGATTGGAAGAAAGTTTGTTCATTGATTCAATACAATTTTACACTGAGTTCCCTCTAAATAAAGCAAAGTATCAGAGTTGTCTTATTGTTAGCATAATTCCAGTGGCGGTCGCGGGATTTCCGCCAAGGGAGGGGAGGGGACAAAAAATTTTTCAAATGAAGGTGTGTTGCATTAGCCACGCACTCCGAAAAAATTTTTGAGGTGTTTCTCAGAATTTTTATGAGCCCATGCAGCCACGCCCACCAAAAAAGTTTATCTATAAGGCTAATTTGGATTTTTAAAAATTTTAAAAATTTATTTTAATTACTAGCATGGATAAACAAGTCACTTGCACAACTTTATAACCCTTGTAAGTACATTTCAAAAATTTCGTGACCCATTCTCGGGGGGGAAGGAGGGCGTCCCCCACCCTCCGTCCGCCACGGCATGATATTTAGAGCGGATAAAAGCATCCACGAAAGTATAATCACCAGAAATTATGTATCTATACCTTAGCGTCATCATAGGTTTGCATAGCATCTTTCTTTTGCTCATCGTCTTCGTATAGGATTGCCGATTGATACTGCTTCTTTCTGTGCTCAGCAGGATTATGGTGTGACCAGAAAAAGTCCAACACCTGTCGATAAGAGATCAGCGAAGGATCGAACTGCACTTCTGTCACCTCTGCAAACAAATGGCCCAGCTCTTCCCATGATCAAGTAGAGGCTCACCAGTGTGATCGCCGATTTTTCTGTACGTTGGGTCAGGTGTTGTTCCACCAGCATAGCCAACGCGGGTTTTCTTCACACCTTTGAGCTAGAAAAACATTCATTGCTCGAGAAATAAGGATACGTTTGCTAAATTCGCAATCAGTAACCCACCTTAGCAAAGGCCGACTCTCCCCAAAAGCACTGCATGCCCAAGTACGCTCGAGAAAGGGACATTCTGAAGTGACACTTGGGATCCTTAAAAGATGCAGATCCCATCCAGCAATAAGGAGATTCAAGACATCGTCAAATTGTGTACTGGACAAATTAAATGCAGCGACATCATTAGAAATGGTCGCCATGGACACCGGTGTGCAATGGACATAAATCATATGAGCGGATACATAAGTTCATAAATTACAACACCATGTCAGATGGAGTAGGCAGAATCTCCTCTAAATTGATTTAGGATCACAGAAAAAAATATGCTAAATTGTTTGAATCACCTTAAAAAATAGCATGGGCAACAGTGTAGAATTTCAACAAGTGTCCTAAGGTATGACACAGGTGAAGTTGGATTTGAAGTATGATAATGTCGCATTAATCAAGGAAAGCTAAATGTACTGATAGCAAAGGCACAGCCTTATGGTTCAACGCTATTCGTTCTGAGGTAACGATACGGAGCAAAACTGGACAAAAATACTGGAGGTTTTGAGTTCAGGTGATGCAGATGACGAAGCATAGCATGTAAGTATATAGAAGTTATCGCGTTTTTCTACCTATCAACAAAATAAAGAAGGCAAAAACTCAACGAGTTACTTCTTTTTCTCGCTTCATCAGACTACTGTTCAACTCTCGAATCTATCATCATTACCTTGTTCAAATTGAATTCAAAAAAAAATACTACCTCATATAAAAACTGAGGTAATAATATGCGTAGTTTTGAAAATGCATTTATGATTCGCATACATCGCAAAGAATATGTGAGTATCCAGATAATAAGAAAAAAGTGCTTCGAATACGCGGATAGTTTTCAAGTGAAATTTGTTTGAGATTATCAATCGAATATGGAATTCGGTCACAACGAAATTTATTTTAGAAATTTCAAAAAGCCAGTTAAAGAAATGCAGAGGAAATTGCATTGCAAATTTTGCGCACATTGCATGCATTAATCTTCTACGAATTCCAATATCTCAAAAACTAGCTAAATTTGAAGGTAGAGATGATAGGTTCGAAAGTTCTGTAAGTATCCGGCTAAACGCAAGTAAATCAGTTCGAAAGTCAGCCGGTGAAAAAACTTACAAATAGTCTTTTGTTCTAATTGTGAGAATATGAAATAACGTGTAAAGATCACAGAACGTGAGTTTCGCTTGGTATGACGAGAACACAGCACATTGTCAGGTGGTGAAAATGTGGTTCGAATTTTTTCCTGTTCAAGCTCTGCGGATAGATATTGTGACAAACTGAAGGTCTCCCAAAGCCTCACACCTACGATTACAGGTAAGGGAAGAGAATCATACGAATAAATACCAGAAAACGCGCTGTGGCGAGATTATCTGTTTTTAAATTTGCCAAGGACGAAACTTACGAAAGCGAAACCTCCTAAGGAAGTAACTTTGTTCTGCTAGAAGATTCTGTGCTCGTTTTGATGATAAATCCCTTGTCATCAAAAATTATTTACATTCAGCAGTCCAGCAGATCCTTTATACAAAATTTTGCAGTGATCAATCGAAGTAGAATTGTGAGCAATGTTTTCGATAACAGCATTTGAGCAAACATCATCAAGGACTTTCGCACCTCAGTCACCTCCAAACACGGATTGCACTTGGCAAAATTTCGAAATTCTCTGTACGGAACTACGAAAACTGCGAGCTTTTTAACTTGCTGTATACTGGAAGAAAGTCACTTTTAAGCTTCTGCAGTCATTTGAGCAAAAAGTTATGAACATCTACCTATTAAAGACGGCCCGACACTTTGCGAAAAGACTATCAGAACTTCTTATCTTTCCAAAAGACCAAAAATTTGTGACAGCTAAGGTACAATTCTTGGGTCGGAGTCAGCAAAGGCACGAAATGTTCTGATAACGACATAACACGAACTAGGTGATGCTTATGACACATTTTTGGAAAGAAAGTACTGGAATATTCTCGACTACAAAATTTTTTTCGTATCCGTGCTTCCAGTATTTTGGAGATATCCAGGTCTTGCACTGCAAGCTCGTGAATATGACAACTACGAGCAGATGCTCAGGGATTTTCAGACAAAAGTTGGTGACATCCTGCTTCCTTAAAAAACTAGACTCTCAAAAAGATCAAACACATCTGTCCAGGGACATTTGGTACATTTTTCGCTAATCTACTACTCGACAGCGTAGTGCAAGCATATACTGAGTTGCCAAGTATAAGGCAGCAAATATAGGGGAAAGAACGTTTTTTCGCCTGGAAGACAGTTGCTTCAGTATCTCAAACTAGTCAAACCATAATAGCTATTATTTAGACTTCAGTATGCGTTCTGAGCCGTACAGTTTTTTTATAGTAACTTCATTGCCTTAGAAGGACTTTGAAGATATTTGAGCTTCGTTTCTATGGAATATTTTTACCAAATAGTGAACGGAAACGATTTATTTCACTTGATAAACTTCATTCATCTACATGACGAAAGTGATTGTCTCAGACCTTTGCTTCAATTGGCTTGGCGGATAGAAGGCGGGGCTTCGTGACCTAATAGGCTAGGTAATGATCAGAGAGTGCGCTCGCGGGAGAGACACAGACTGCGTTGCGGGCGCTAGCGGACTCAATTAGGTCACAAAACCCCGCCTCCCAGCCGCCAAGCCAGTTGAATCATTATCTAGTTTGGTAAGGTGTCTTTGCTAATTGAAAGGAAGTCACGAAAAAAAGACGTTTTTTCAGTACATCCCCAGAACGCGAAAATCTCAAACCTTGTTCAAAATTAGTAAAGATAGGATGGGAGCGTGTTTGACATTCTGACTACGTATAGCATACTAGGCCCCTACCGTAGTTGGTTTCAAACTTGGCTTAATATTGCCTCTGCTGCTAGGGGTTTTTTGGATTCCCAAGTGTTGTTGTGTTTAACCACAAAGAAACAGCCGCAAAAAAACCAGCTATTTGCGACTTTTGCCGGTTCATCCTAGGACTTTTTAAAAGTAGTACAGCAGGTTACTTTACAGTCTCCAAACAGCACAAACCTCAAGTAGCACGGATAATTCACCTTATCCAGAGTTTTCTATTTAGCCGTCACAAAAATTTTGCTGTGAGTGCACAGGTCATACACTATTCGACGAAAAGCACTTTGCTGTGAATTGCATTGAATGCACAATCGCTTTATTTCGAAAGCTTGAGCGGCAGAGCATCGGAAATCTCTTCCATCCCCTCTTTATCGCGCTGTATGGTTGAAATCAAAACCCATTCTCCTTTCCTACTCAAATTTTAGCTGGAAGGATACACAGATGAAGTGGAAAGCGAACAAAAAGTACTGGAGCGGCGGTCTGAATCGATGCTAATCGTCGCGGACTGTGACCGTGTGCGACTGCACAACCTTACCTTCACGCCTAATTTACAACTTTTTCGGCGCTGCCCTCTCAAAGACTTCGATAGCCGCTGTTTTCTTTTCTTGTGAATGAACTGCATAGTCCAGTGATTTGACATAGAGACATAAAGTTGCAGTTTCTCTTTTCTTGTATCAAAAGCGCTTGGTCTTGATTATTGTTATTTGATAAACAACAGTAGCGAATGGTATTCTTTCAATGGGATCTTCTCGTGTCATCTTCCTTCACAACTCACTCGGTTTCAGAAGCTTTTGTATTCCTTGTTTTATGCAGTGACCGCTTAGGGTGAAATTAGAATTACCTGAAATCGGATTTCAGCACAGTATTTGAAATTTGTTAAGACCCCTCAATATTGGATGTCTTCACGCATAGTCTCACAAACTAGGATATTTCTTTTGCGACAGCTATCCCTTCGAAGATGTGCCTCCACAGCTCCCACTACGACGCAGACAGGTAGTTATAGTGTTTGTGGTTACAATTCACCAAAATAATTATCCGTTATAGATATACAAAAACGAAAAGATGACGATATGCTTGAAACAATAGATATTGAAGATCTTCCTCGCGCTCAGAAGAGATTCGCAAAACAGTTCGAGAAGGTGGGTGAAACTGCCAGGCCCTGAATCGTTTCGTTATCACTCCTTCACCTATTTTGTCATGCAAAGATTTTTCCTAATACTTTGTTTCTGCTATCTTCTCTATCTGCTTAAGTTACAAGCTTCGTATACAGTTCTTTCCCAGATTGCTATAGGGATATTTTATGCTTTTCGCAATTACTGGCTCATTTTTTCACCACTATCAAGCAACATGGCAAGCTCCATCAACTAATTGGAGGGCAATTTTTTACTGATTAGTACCAGGTTGTAGTATTCGATCAGCAATAACGTTTTGTTTCTGCTCTATTCCGTCATTTATTGAATCTATATTAACGCTCCATACTCGTCTAAAAAAATTCCAATGCTGCCTCGCCTGTTTCAACAGCTTTGTCCTTCATTGGTTAAAAAGCGATTTTTGGATTAGTGATTTCACCCTGCTTGTTACAAAGGTTTCTAAAGACTCATTGATCATTAGGTTTTTTTCCTTCTGCGAGTGTCTGTCTTGTTTCTTAGTCATCTGTCCACCTTTTTGTATATCATATCAACATAAGTTTGCGGAGTCTGCACTCCTGAGCATAGCACTTGCAACCTTTCATTTCCATTATTCTGTCGGAGTCGTTGTTCACAATCGAGCGACACCAGTGACTTTCATTCACGTTTGTATCACAATCACTATACGCATGTATGACTAACAAGGGAACCATGTTTAGTCGAACTGGCCTTTTCAGATGAGATGTATACTATACCGGAGAACATAAAACACTGATTCCAAATCTGCCGTTCTTATTTGCGGAATATCTGTGGGCGAGGAGTCATTAGCTTTTACTAGAGCATAAAGAACGTGCAAATAGGACGAAAATTGGGCTTATTTTCGCAAGCACTTCAATGGAGAATTATGATTATCAGAGCAGTACAACTCAATAAATAATCTCAGATGAAAAATATACCACACTTGATTACTTCATCCAAGGGCTAAGGAGATTTTAGCAACTCATTTTATACTAAATGCAATTTCTTTTTTGCTCCAATAAACGGGCACAGCTCCTCGTCCACAATCGGCAGACAAGGAAGGCAAATTTTGAATCAACATTTTAGGCGACTAAACGTGGTTCCCTTGTAAGCGAAACGTGAATCAAATCGAGGCGGTTTTTCTTTCTTTGGTTGATTGTGCCCCACTTCGAACTTTTATTTGAGTTTTATCTCGAAGTTATATCCATTTCAACAAAATCAAGTCAAAAACCGTCGAATTTATTTCATGAGAATCAAGATCGAATGTTTCCCCCCCCCCCCGCTTTTAGCGAGTATTTCTTATCATGCTTCAAAAATCAGAAGGTGAACGCCTTATTTTGTCCGTGCCGTCTTGCCAAATGTTCATTGGTCTCCAAAGTTTGTCAGTACTCTGCGTAGCTCAGTCAGCTGGCGCCTCGTCCCACATACGCTAGACGAAAACAAGTTACTATCTGGAACTCGTAAGAGTCGCGTGCGCATTCTATTTGATGATAGAGCAATGCTTTTTCTCTTCAATCATCCATATCGTACTGCCAGTTTCGATGTTTGGTCTGTCAGCAGCTTACCACGTATTAGTAATTCACAACCATGTCACTGCAATAGGTATCGCGCTTCGTGATTTTCCTGGTTATTTTGGAATTGCGTCTGACCATAGTAGCAGTTTCAAAAAAATTTTTGAGCTTGTGTTCATTCAGTTTGATGGTAGAAAACATGGTGAACAGTTCTCCTCACTGCGTCCACTTTTCGCATGAAGGAAATCCTTCCACTCTAATAAAACGAGTTTCTCATAAAGTGCAGTTCAGTTCTCACTCGCCCACGTTATTAAGATTTTTAAGCTGACAACCACCGTCAGTTGCAGAGCATTACATTCAGTTTGTGCTGTCAACAAATCATCCTATCAATATTGCTGCCTCCAAAAAAGTGTGAATTTAGAACAATGGCTATCTGCTTGTGCGAGTTGCTGTTTTTGAGTCCATTAGCTGCGTTTTTCCTTCATCGTCGTGGTTTGATGACTTTCCAGCACGTAGAGTGGTATCGATTGTTAGAGTTCTTTTATGTCGTATATTGGACTTCGCCGGGGCAATCATAGTCCTGTTGCCCATACCCTAACGAGAGTGTCTGCCTGCGAAATATTGTCGGACACGTTGCAGCATAGAGCATTCGTCATCGTTCTAAAATCGGCATCGACTCTTGCAATAGACTTGTTCGACTTTTTTTGTTCGAGTCATTTCTCCTTTTTGTCAAAGACAGGTTCCGCTGCTGTCTGACTTTGAGCACCTGGTTTGCTTTTGGATATCTTGTTGCGTAACGCGAATCATTCAATCTAACTTTTTTGTTTCTTTGTTCATTTCAAAAATGATTTGTTCTTTTCGTTACATATTGATTCAAATTGTAGAATGTGTGAGGGAGCTTGAAGAGTACAATGTAGTTTCCTCCCACACGAAAGCTTTTAAAAAATAAAAGGGAAAGGCTTTTCAAAGTTCTTATTTCCTGAAGCCTTAGCAAATAATTAGATTGATGCAGTTTATTAGAAAGTTCTATTTGTGTCTTCGTAGAAAACTGTGAAATCCCAATCTCAAAAAGTGATTTCTCATAGATGTTCTTCCTCCATCGTTGCTTTCAACTCGTTATATACCCATTGATTCATAGGTTATGGTCTGAGTTTACTTTCGCCATCTTGATATAAGTCACTCGCTTTTTGCGTAATCCTAAGAGACATAAAAATTGTCGCGACGCTGACTTCGTGTTCAATCATCGAGTTTGTTTGTCGTGCTATGTATCATCGCCATTTCGCAAGATCTCCAGTGCACTGCTTTGCTTTTTCTCATTCGGCGCAATAATTTAGAGGTAGTACATAAAATAAAATTATAAAATAGCGCACGAGGCCTTGCCTACATCAGCCCACATTACATGGCAAAACAGAGTTTTGCGTATCTGGTGATTCACGAAATCTGAACCACGATATATGGACCTGACTACAGCGGGTTGGTCTCTTCTCACTTTCCGTAGTTCATTGTTTCCACGCTCTCAAAAGGTTCGACTTTACTAAGATACTTGCTATTGTATGTTTCTTCTATGCATAGGAAAACTTGCCAGACTTGATTAGATCGCGGTTGTCCCATAGGAACGATGCTTGTTAGTTCACTATCAGGTTTGAAAATGCTAGAAATGTTAAAATGCTCCTCTATCTCTACCATGCTTCGCTTGATCATCCAGCTTCCTTCAAAGTTCATGCAAAACTTGTAATGTAGAGCTCCACAGCTTAAATGGTCCGTCAATTTTTGGAAAAAAAATCTTACATCGTTTCGCTCTTCCCAACGATCAATCTATCTTCATTGTTAGATACTCGCTATGCACTAGTCATAATAAAGAGATGAGATTTGCCCGTTACCTGACGAGTCGTTTATATCATCAAGACACTCCGTATGGAATTTTGAGTAGTCTACGGCGCAGAAGGAGGTGGTTTATTAGGTGAGAGGCAATTTCTACTAGTTACAGCTGCTAGCTTTTAGAGGTAGATCGCATAGTTACAGTAAGAGATCTTATATATCTACAGTAGTTTTGAAAGAATCTGCGCTCTTCTTTTGCCTTTCTTAACTCTATCCAATGCATATTATGCACAAATTTGCTTTTTTATGACTTAGTTCTTTTCTTTCAGGTCAACCAAGAGCGAGTAAAGGAGATTTTTGCTAAAAATTACAAGAACCACATTGCTTTTGGAGTGTTAATCTCCCTTGTCGTGGGCATCTATTACTACACGATTCACGCAGTCAAACAGGAGACATTCCTCGAAGAGATTGATGAAGAAATGGCGGCTGAGCACCCGGAAACTCACGGTCATTTGCATGTTGAAGAGAAAAAATAGATAGTTTGAATGCTCAGACCCAGCCATTCCGTCGTTAATGCTGTATGCTCAATCAAACCTTCCTCATATTTTCGTGCAGTTTCCTCTTGATATAACAGAGTATCTGAATCTCAGTGCCACAGTTTGTTATATATATCCATGTTAGGATAGGAATAGGTCGATCATGTTTGATGAATTTTTCTGTTACGCGATTTGTCTGTTTGATAGATTGTTTCTCGTTATATCGTTCACCGTTGCTCCTCTTTTCAAATATCGAATAAAGATCTTTATTTACAGGTAATATAGTAGACTAATGAGCGCGGAAGGTGTTTCGTCACCTACATCAAAAGATGATGTTTCAAAGGATGATCCGCACGAATCGGACAAAAAATGTGCCGATACAGCTGAAAATCAAACCGAGAGTGAAGGAAATGACTACAACAGTAATCACTCAGGGAGAAATCAGGTACAAACTGTTTACTTCCGGTTTTGCGCAACACAAGGTTTCAGCAAAAAAGTCTCTCGACTGTCAGAATTTTCTTAGGCAAACGATCACGGTCAGAGCTAAATCTTATTACACCCATCTTGCAACTCTCTGAAAAGTTATTGCTACCTCTACAATCTGAATTGTTTTTCTTTCACCGGTCTTTGGACACCCTTTTTGTGTAGCCAGCGTCCTTTTTAGTCTTATGCTATCAAAGTCCTTTTTTGCTACTCTTATCAGTTAACGATTGCAAACTGTAGTGTCGATTTGCACAAAATGAAAATACCTTGGCTTCGCGTAAGTTCTTGGCTTGATTTTGCTTTCCTACCCCTTGCCTTTGTTATTCTTTGTTCTTGTTTATTGAGACTCAACTTTTCAGCTCTCTCCGCCTCAGCAACCCACAGCGTCTGCGACAAGTAATAACTCTGCCTCCACTTCGACTAAAAATTCGACGATTGCTGATGACACAATGCCCGCACCTCAGTCTAATCCGCCGATACCAAACCGATCTCCGGCGGTTGGTAAAAGAAATCTATCACCAGGTGCTGCGAGAGCACCTACTCCTGTGCCGCCAGCTCGTACGAAAAAGAAGAAGGTACGTGTATGCAAACTTGTTGGTCTGTTACCACTGTTTATTCCGCTACCATTCGCGAGCAGCGATCTTATTTTACTAACGCTTCGCTTATCACTTTTATCATTTGCGGCTATAAGAGAGTAGGATCAGTTTACTATGAATTTGTTCGATAGTGGTTGGTCTCTGAACGAGTGTAAGCCGCAAGAACTCGCTAAAGCACTTTCGCATGTTGTTTCAATAGCACAGCCACACGGTTGCCCCAAAGAGGTACGCGTCTGCTCAAGATTCTGGATATCCTTTTTTCTGGGATCGTCGTCGACAGTTGATACACCTCATAACTGAGCCAGAATAGCATACAGTCTTTGATCATTCCATATTTTCTATCAAACTTTGTCATTGCATCTTAACTCTTCAGACGAATTCTGTGCCGAAATACCCTAAGGTTGTTTAAAGCGTAAACATTGTGTTGTAAAGTTGCATGCGTGTTTCTAGTAGATTCAGCTTTAAACTCTAAACTCAAGGCAGGGGCTGTTTTTTTCTAGGTTAGGTTTTTTCTAGGTTACTGATCTTCGTTGTTCGGAAGTGCGGTGGTTTTATCGACGGTCTGAAGATAAGTGGTTGCATTTTAATGGTGAGAATCTTCAATTTCTTTTGAGCACTTTTGTTTAGCTTCCATCATCAGTCTTGATCGTGTATTTGAATTCTTTCAATAAGCTCAAACATGTTTCAGGAAGGGATTCACTAATCTTAGAGGCGAAATATAGGTCTGTCTTTTCTATCCCAATCGACGATCAGATGACTGTGGAACTCCTGGAACACAATATGTCTGTTGCACATTCTGTCGTCGTGCTGGACGGTCTTTATAAGTGAGTAAGCCTTCAGTCTTTTTAAATCCCGTATGTTTCTATGTTTCCTCGTTCAGGGTAAACGATGATCTGACAAAGGTCGAGTCTATATACTGGAAAGCAGATGCTTGCGAGATACGTAGAGGGTCATGGTTCAACCAGGTACGTTCTAATGATGTTTTTATAATTTATGGAAACAGACTCAACTTTTGACAAGCAGACTCAGCTTTTTTGAATTTTTATTTCTGTTTGTACTTGGACTTTTTATTTTCTAGGACTGGCAACCATTGGAACCTCCCATAGCCGATGCTATCGAAGCTCATCATCTTCAGTGTTTCCGAGGGCAGACAATCCCTGAGGGTACAACTGTTTTTTCCTCAAAAGAGGCTAGCAACAAACCACGTGCGTTCTTGCTTTTTAATGCTATTCATGTTTAGCCCATCTTAGCAAATGTTTATCTGCTTATGATCTTATGATTTCTATGTGATATAAAACTTGATTGCAGAACTCACTGAACTGCAGTTGGATGGTATGGAGATTCGGTGGAGCTCAGTGATAGACGTTTCCCTGTCCTTTAAAAGAGGCGCCATACTAAGGTTTGATAACACTCTCAAATTGTTTCGTATATGTTGTTTATTTCTGCCTTCCTCTTGGTGAAAGATTCCTTTGAGTTTTGAGCAAATTGTGTAGCAATAACAAGTTGATATCTAGAATGAAGCTTTCTCCATTTGTGTCATTTTGGTCATCTTAGCGGTGAAATTTTTAGATACATAGGATGGGGCAAGAGCCAAGCTTTACGACGTGGATATCAACAGGAAGCAGAATGGGATGATGCACCAGCGGAAGTGGGACACCTAGTTCTTGTTGTACATGGAATTGGTCAAAAAGGATATGAAAATCTGATTGCAGAGAATGCTCAACAGTACGTCATTTGTGACCATCAATCAAAACTGGAAACTTGGTTTCAGATTGCGCGAAGCTGTTGTAGGCGCTATGGAACGTTGCTTCCCTGAAGAGAAAACTCGTCCTCTGTTTCTGCCAGTGGAGTGGAGATCATCTCTCGTTCTTGGTACTTACTAATCTTTTCGTTACATCATTTTTTTTAATTAATGCTATATGCTGATTTCCTTCTATTGCAGATGATGGTGTCACTGATCTTGTAACTCTTCCAAAAATGAGTACAATGCGAAATGCTCTGAACAGCACTGCTATGGATCTCATGTTCTATCATAGTCCCTTGTATCGTACGGAGGTTTGTGAAGTATTGGTTGCATCGTATTTCACTGTTCTATTTTAGATCGTCGGTGGTGTGGTCAAGCAACTAAACCGGATATATTCACTTTTTATTGAGAATAATCCCAATTTCACTGGTCCAGTGTCAATCTTTGCGCATTCGCTTGGATCTGTCATATCTTACGACATATTACTTCATTGGTCTCCTCTTGTGCTTTATGACAAATATGTTACTCAGGCAATGGTATGTAATTCACAAATGTTCATGGCTGTAGTGGTAATTTCCTTATTTCAGGATCTTCATATGAAAGAATGCACTGACCCTTCTAGTCTTGAGGTCATGAAGGCTTTTCAGCAGGCTAGGGATAAGTAAGCGATTTTTTCTTTCCTTTCCTTGCTCTGGAGTAGTTATTTTGCAGATTGTATGAGAAAATCGAGGGAGGAATCAATAAAATGTTGCGAAACAAGGATGAAGAACTTCAGTTTAATGTAAATGAACCACTTTATTTATTTCGAGTCTGCATATAGTTTCCTACAAACACTCTCTTTTTAGGTAAAATATTTATTCGCGGTTGGTAGCCCACTTGCTGTTTTTCTTGTTATGCGCGGTGCGACCCACGCTGATCTTCTTCCGACGAAGATGAATGTGCGTTCATTCCCTCACGAATTGTAGTTTTCAATCTAAAAAAAATGAGGAAGGCCATTGTTTTGCAGATCGAACGCATTTTCAACATTTTTCATCCTTATGACCCCGTTGCATATCGACTGGAACCGTTGTTCATACCGGAGTATCGACACATTCGACCAGTAAAGCTCTTCTCTAGCAGCGACTTACGAGGTAGCTTTACTAACCCTCCCTTTTATTCTTGCATTTCTAAAGGCAGTGGATCAGCAAATGGGACCCTTCTCGGATTTCGGCGGATTTAGATAGTAGACCGCCCAAGTACACTGTAGTCCAAACCCCACCCGCCAATTCATGCGCTAAGTCCTGAAAAATGCGTCTCAAACCTCCACCAGCCCTGCCCACTAAATGGAAAGTGGCGGGGCTGGTGGAGTTTCGAAGCGCATTTTTCAGGACTTAGCGCATGAATTGGCAGGTGGGGTTTGGACTTCAGTGTACTTGGGGGGTCTACTACCTAAATCCACCGAAATCCGAGAAGGGTTCATTCTGCTGATCCATTACCTTTAAGTCTTTGGTCATACTTTACCCGTGTTACCCGTGTTACCGCTATTACTAATGTTACTCGTGTTACCCGTATTACCAATGTTACCCGTGTTACTCATGTTAGTGGTGTTACTCGTGTTACTCGTGTTACTGGTGTTACTAGTATTACTGTGTTACGCACCAGTCAGTGACATTGCGTTTTTGAATGAGACTGTATTGTGATCACTTCAATATTCAATAGCAGTTAAAGCGGTAACACCAGCAACAGAAGTAACACGGGTAACCCTAGTAACAGTAATACGGATAACCCTGGTAACACGGATAAAGTATGGCCAAAGCCTTAACCCCACTCTGTCTACTGTCTATTTATCTGTATTTGAAGCTCGAAATCCATATGAAGACATACCACTGGAGGTGTACAAGAGTTATTTGAAGAAGTTGAAGAACGAGTCTAAGAAGAAGAACAAAGCGGTATGTGTTTTCAGCTTTCCGAGTTAATGATCAGTGAAGATAACAGATGTTTTGCATCGTTCGTCGAGATGGTAATTTGTACATATTATTCTGCAAGAAGCCAAAATGTAACGACTCTTCGGTCATATTGGGCTTTTGGAGAGCAAAAATGTTTCATTAGGAAGCATTATTGTGCTTATACGCTGATATTCAAAAATGGGCTCCAGTTGCTACTCTGAATACATCACTTTCTGAGCATTCCTAATGTTTTGCGGGTAAATTATCTGATCTCTTTCTGTCGGTTTCGAAATATGTAGGAACTGTAATTTCAATCATAGCCAGGATAATTTTCATGATATTTTTTCATCGCCTGAACGCGGTTGTCGCTTTATGAAAAATTTTTGCTTGATCAATACCCACTGCAGATTCGTGAGCGCCGATAGGATCAGTTTGCTTTGGTCGCGCATTCTTCTTTTATGAGGGCTCGTTTTCACGAAACGACAATCTCAATAACTTTTACCTTTATGATTCCATTTAGGCGGACGCGAAAAGTGGTGGAGATGATGAGGAAGAAGAGGATGAATGCGATTCTGATTTTGACGCCAAAAGCGGATGTGAGTTCGGACAATCCATTTTCAGTATTCAGTCAGTTTTTTTTTGTTTGTCCGCTTCTGTAATCATTAGGATATGCTTATGAACCCAACTTACTTTTGACGCTTAATGAAGATGACAAGTTTGTTGAAGTAGAGAAACTTATCGAAATTTGAGACAGAAAGTCATGGTTCCCGATGCTGCTATCATAATAAGGTTTTGTTGCACTCTAACAAGAGTTCATGTTTTTTTTTGCCTGAGCCAAACCTTCGAGGCGCACTAACTAAACTATTCTTTGCAGTTTATCGCCTCTATAGATAAAATTAAACTCTTGGTTATAAGTAGCGTGTTTAAGGATGATAAGATATGCGTAATATCGTACTAGTGCTTTTTCAATTTTCAGCTCAAGTCGGAGTACCAGATGGCAAGTTTTTTCAAGCTAATTGGCGTTTTCCCAGTTGTTTGCTGGGTACTTAGTTTTGCATGCTGGTTCGGTTCCAGTTTGTAAGTCGAACCCGTCTATCTATCCTTCGGTTTCTTTTAGGCGAGGGTCATCTTCTAATTACCTTTCGTGCGAGTGCTAGTGATTAGCGTCCTGATTATTCTAGGAAGTAATTTTGCTTCTTTTAAAAGCGATTGTAAACCATTCCAGGTTCGTCTCCAAGAAGTCTCACACCCCCTCCAACAAGCGTAGATGCTGCTTCTGTGGAAAAGCCCGCTAAGAAGGGATGGTTCTCCTTCACTTCCTCTGCACCTAAGAAGAACACAACTGAAAAAGTGGCTACTACCAGTGCCGAGGCACCTGTGGAGCTGGCCAAGGAAGCTGAGGTTTGTTCATTTTGACATCCTTCCTTATGTACTTTTATATTTACACATCGCAGATGGAATTACCTTTACCTGAACGATTGCTTGGCAGCGGAACTAGGCCTCCGCATCGCTTGGACTTCCAGCTACAGGTAAGCGAAGAAACGCTTTTTATATTGAAACTTACCTTTTCCATCTATCGAGTGTGTTTTTAGCCGGCACTGACTGACAAAAGTTATTGGTCTGTGCTGAAGAGCCACTTCAGTTATTGGACAAATGCTGATCTGGCTTTGTTTTTGGCAAATGTTCTTTTTGCCAAACCTGCCAATAGTGATCAAGTGAATGGCTTCGAGGCTCCAGAAGCTACTTCTTAAGAGCAGTCTTCATCTAAATAGTCGCATTTATGCATTTTTCTTAACAACTCTTTTTTGGACCCCATACGTGAAACGGTTTTCTCGCACTTTATTTGTAAAAGACCTTCATAATTTTGCAATGGTTTGCCAAATGATGCTTTACTTGCGGTCTGTTCCGCTCTTTCACAATCCGTGTACCCTGGGTTTCTTTTTATTTAGCTTTCATTCCATTATTACATTGTCTTCTTATGTGACTCCTCTATCTTCGCAGCTATCCGTTCACTTCATGTATGTCGAATGTTTGAATTTGCTAGCTGTTTTCTTCCAATCGTTGCTTATATCTGAGTTAGTTCGTTCCTTCCTTCTTAGTTAACTCTGTCTGTACTTCGAGCTTTGTTTTTCATGCTGTTATCGCGATAGACGGTAGTCTTGCAAAAAATGTCATAGTTTACTAGATACTTGTGAAGGTATTCTCTTGCACTTAAATTCGATGTGATCATTATGGTAGTGTGATATATAATTAAGAATTCTAAAGCATTCAATTCAAAGTTCCTTCTCGTCCACTTCATTTTTCTTTACCTGCATTACTGCTTCAATGTTTCTAATGACATACCCAGAAGCTATCTCGAGTCTGTATACGGTAAAAGATTCCCGCACTTCGTAGTCAGAGTATTAGTTTACCAGTCATATTAGAGTCTGAATAATTAGTCTTTGTTTAGTCCCACATCTCGGTGAGTAGATTTGAATCATGCATATATACATGTCCACATTTCCAATAAATGAAAGAAATTTATGGTTATGTATTTCTATTTGGAAATCACACTTTCAGATTCAGACACGAAGCATCCTACAGTGCAATATGCTAAGGTCTTGGCCATACCTCACGCGATTTCAGTTGCGACTTGGCAGTATCAGTTGTCCGTAGCTCAACGTGCGCTTTTTCCAAATGCGCAAAGGATAGGGTATTTTCATCTACGAAACCTGTGCATACTATGCATTTGCGGTCTGCCAGTGTTGGTTGAAGTTTGGCCATGTGCCAGATCGCATAGCGCTGAAATCACGCTAGGTTGGCGTGTGGGTTTTTTTAAGGTCAAGTTTAAGAGAGAGTTCTCTATGAACAGGATGACAACAATAGTATTATGGTATGTTGTCCAAGGTATTATTTCAGGTATTATTATTAGGTATCAACATAAACCACTGATGTACTGAACTGTTCATTCCTCAAGATAAATATTCACTAAAATAGAGTAAAAATGTGCATTGCAAATAAGCGGATGGCATTGCCAGATATTGATAGATGTTGCTTGTCATCTCTAGTTTTTCTCTGCAGCAATGGGCCGGAAGTTTCCAATAGCCATAAGCTACTAGCAATCGATAGGAGAGTATAAAAGGCATTTTCCGTATAAATATTCGTACATTTTGCGTGAGATCGACGCAGTCGTGGTAAAAATCTTCCGGTTCAGCTTGGGGAATTATTAGATATGAACTGCATCTCACATTTACAAGAATTTGTGCTACTAAACAATTCAACTCAAATACTTGTCCGTGAAGTTTGGATTCCGATTTTGTCAAAAATAGGAGTCTCCAATTGCACAATTTGTTTTATATTTTGACTTCTCTACGTGTTTCAGATTATTACGACTCTCTGTCTCTCTCCTTTCATCAAAACCTATCTAGAACTTTGATGGTTGCTCTGTAAGAACACCTAGGAAGTCGCAATAATTATTAGATAAAAGAGAACTCAATACCTTCTAAACAACCCGCCAAAGAATCAGATATCAACAAAGGGTGTGCCAAAACTTCGTAAGGGTGAGTACTCGCAGGCGCAGATGCTTTTGCTGATGGTCATGTCTTTTTATGTGTCGGCGCCATCTCTTTGGAAATATCCCCTTTTAAGAGCAACGAAAATGAGGATTAAGTCATCTTGAATGAGTGACTGCTAATGGCATCGGGATTGATGGGAGGAGCGAAGGAGAAGTTGGTCGCCTTCGAAACCGTTTGCATGGAGGCCAGATTAGATTCATGCCACGGTGATGGCGACGGCCATTTTACGTGCACTCTTTCCTACTTTTTCTTCCCATTTCCAATTTTTAGGAATTTTGCGAAAGGAGGGTATGTAATAGTCTTAATGACTTAATCCTTATTTTCGCTACTCTAATATATTTGAAGCCTGCAGTTATCTCGATACTCGATAGCAGCGCCTTTGCAGTTTGAATTCTTGAATATTTGGGTGAAGCGATATGTTCCACATTAGTTTCTACTTGCACTCAATGATAACTTTCCTACACTCTCTGGTAGAAATCATTTGTATACGACATAGTGTTAGTTTGTCCCGAAAGTTCTGTCGTTTCATTTTTGAAAATTTGTAACTTTTTGTTGTCCCAATGGATTCGCTTCTTTCTAATTTCATCAGAAAGAGGAAATCTTTTCTTTATAGAAATGTCTCACAGAGCTTCAACTATACATTCATTGCAGTAAAAATGAAAAAGACCAAGTGAGCTTTGACCATTATAAGTTGGGTCGCCAAAATTATACATGTTTTATGACCTACTCTTTGCATCTGCAAAGAATATTGTGTGTTTGGACTTTCAATGAAAAGTCATGATTGTCGAGAAAAGGACAGATTAATCAATTTTGGCGTTTTTTATTTTAGATTCGAAAATGATAGCTTTTCATAGAGATGTTCAAACAGCACAATTTCTTCTCACAAGGGAAGGATACATGGTCGAAGTGGCATTTCATCTTGAAATGTATACTGTCTTATAGAGCTTAGGACGCTGATTCCGAATCTGTCTTCGCTATCTGCCGAGCGCCTCTGGACGCCGAGTTATGAGCGTTCTTTGGGTTATAAAATTGAATGCGTAATTAGGGCAAAATTCGTCAGAATTGCTCAAATGGTCCAATGTTGGTTACCAGAGCACCCCATTTCAAAGGATACCTTTTGCCCAAAACACTCATACAACATGTTGCTCTAGTTAGGCGCTGAAAAGTCCGTAATAGTCAATTTTACTTGAATTCTGCGTTCATTTTTCGCTCCAAAAAACATTTATAACTCGGCGTCCAGAGGCGCTCGGCAGATAACGAAGAAAGATTCGGAATCAGCGTTTAACGCTCTTCAAAACAGTATATGACCCATTTGAAAAGGCCACTTCGACTGATCCGACCTCCCTTGTCAGATGCAGAGAATAGGTCAAAAAACTTATGTGCTGGCAAATTCAGATTTTTCTGCAGCGTTCTGGATTTTTGGCGATCTATCTTAAAATGGTCAAAGGTCAAGTGATCTTCTTTTTCCATTTTATCTCTACAATGAATGTATAGTAGAAGCTCCACGAAACACTACTACAAAGAGAAGAGTTTTACTTTTCAATAGAATGAAAAAGAAGCAAATCCGTTGAGACGGCAAACAGCAGTTACGATTCAAAAATGAAACGAAAGAACTTTCGGGACAACCTAGTATAATATCTAACAAATTTCGAATGGTTTCCAAAACTTCTCAAAAGCAGTATTTTGAACATTGTTGCTGTCCACTAGATTCGGATAAGTTCCACCAAGAGCTGATGTCATCCGGAGTCACATCGTGAGCCTAAATCTGATAAATTCGACTTTCGAAACTCCCGCAAAATTGTAGAGGACCTAGCATTACATCTCTTTTTACGATGGAAGCCCTCTTTGCGGTGGAGTACTAGACTCAAGATTTGCTAGAGGTTCCTCGAAAACATAAACACTTGATTTTCGCAGCTGGAAATGCAGTGGCGGAACAATTTCCGCCTGTGTCTACAAAATGCAATGCTTTTTGCTTTGGAGCTTTGATTGACAGCATTCGCAGCGTCTAAATTTGGGTTTCATGAAAAGATGACATCGTCCTCGTCATTCGTGCCCATTTCTCTGCCGCATCATGTAGCTTCGGTTGCCTATCTAATATGGCTTGCACATATCCGAGCTTCATTTTGTATAATATAATCTCATTCTATATTGTTTTGCTAAGGCTTTTACTGCTGCAGAATTAAATAGCAATCGTGACGTACATACACATAGGTGATGCTAATGAATGTTGTGCATCAGAATCTATCAACAACAACCTTTGGTAAACAATACCAAATAACATTGCTTAATGAAAAGTGAGCAATGTGAAGTTTTTTTTTTCTGCAGAGATGGCTTCAAAGCGTTGTAGTAATTCTCGAAAAAAATGCAAATTTACATTTTTGTCTTTTTTAATTGCAAGGTAGGAAAACTTTTGATATGTTCGTTTTCTCCATTCTTCACAGTGACCGTGATGATGAAATTGCTATGAAAACTCCGAGATAAGTGCGCTAAACTGCGCCCAGACCTCTAGACCGGTTCCGTGCCAACACCGTGCCGGAGCCCAAATGAACGCACTAAACATTTATCGATCGACGTGGCACAGTTTCGGCAGAGGATTTTTGGCTTGGGGCAAGCAACTCTGAACGCTGCCT